TTAATTATCAAACAAAAATATGAGAAGATTTGTTAGATGAACCTTTGCCCTATGGGGATAAACTATTTATTGATGGGTCCTCTCGATGCCTAGAAGGGAAAAGAATATAAGGTTATGCAATTATCAATGGGCAGAAAATGGTAGTGTTAGAAAAAGGGAAATTACCTGCTGGGTGGTCAGTGCAAGTCTGTGAACTCTATACCCTGATACGGGTGTTGATATATTTGAAAGATAAGGAAGGGACAGTGTACACAGACTCAAAGTATGCATTCGGAGCAGTCCACACATTTGGAAAAATATGGAAAGAAAGGGGGCTTATAAATACAAAAGGGAAGGAGCTAGTACATGAGCAGTTGATCAAAGAAGTTTTAGAAGCCCTGAAGCTCCCCGCAGAAATTGCAGTCGTGCATGTGAGAGGACATCAGAGGGGACCATCAGTGGAAATGAGGGGGAATAATTTAGCAGATCAAGCAGCCATAGAAGCAGCTACAGGGTCATCAGCAGTAGTTTTATTGGTAGTAACGCCGGGGGATTATGAGAATTTAGTCCCGAATTTCACAGAACAAGAGGAGAAGGATATACTTAAAATAGGGGATGAAAAAGATCCAGAAGGAAAATGGACTTTACCAGATGGAAGGCAGATGTTATATCACGAGAAATTCTGTCATTAATACATCAGAAAACACACCGGGGAATACAAGCACTTTGTGATCATTTTCTTAGACAATTATGGGTGTATAGGAATATATACAGCGGCTACACAACTAGTTGATCAATGTCTGATTTGTCAAAAGTGAACAAAAAGGTAATGAGAGGAAAGGTGGCCAGGGGACGGGAGCTAGCCATGCAGCCTTTTCCAAGTCTCCAGGTAGACTTCACAAAGCTACCTCAAATACAAAGGTGGAAGTATTTGTTGGTGTTATTAGATCACTTAACTCATTGGGTGGAAGCAATCCCTATGCCAAGGGTAACGGCAAGCATGGTATCCAAGGTGTTATTGGAAAACATTATCCCCAGATAAGGATTAATAGAAAGAATAGACTTGGACAGAGGAACACATTTCACTTCAAAGATTATACAACTATCTGAAGCCTTAGGGATCGACTGGGCATGGCACACCCCATTGCATCCTCAAAGATCTGGGAGAGTAGAAAGAATGAATCAAACTTTAAAACAAACCTTGACTAAAATAATGATTGAGACTCAGATATCTTGGATTAAATGCCTGCCATTGGCCTTATTAAGGATCCGTACTCAGCCACGAGCGGACCTGGGAATTTCTCCCTATGAAATGATGTTTGGATTACCATACATGAGTAATGACAGGGATATTGTCACCCCTGAAGTAGGACATCAGTATGTAAGAAAGGATGTAATAACAATAGCTAACACCTGAACAAAACTAAGAAAGAAAGGGCTTCTGCCTCAAACACCACCATTGGATTTTAATATCCACAATGTGAAACCAGGTGATTTGGTATTAATAAAAGTGTGGAAAGATCAATCATTAATTCCCGATTGGGAAGGTCCATTTCAGGTGCTGCTGACTACCGAGACAGCGATCCAAACAAAAGAAAAAGGGTGGACTCATGCCTCCCGAGTAAAAGGATTGGTGGAAAAGCCTCGGGAATAGATTGTGGTACCATCAACCGATCAATTACGAATCCTCAAAAGGACCAAGTAAATTCATCGGAAGGGGATTGAATGACTCTTAACCAATGGTTTGGACTGGGTTCAGAGGTGACACTGTGAAAAATTAGTTACTCACTGTATGGGGAACCACAAAAAGATACTGGGCAAAAAGCTGGCGTTTACCAAGCATTAACTGGCAGACAAGCATCAGAGTGGCTTTTGGTAATAGATTATGAGCATTTTGGGTTAGATCGGGCATTGCTAGAAAATCAAACTAATAGGGTAATACCTTGTCTCGAGTGCATACATGAATTTCATGAAGCGTGGGTTTTGTGTGAGTGTGAAACGTGTAACCAGAGGTTGTATTGTATCTCTCACAGATGGAGAAAATGGTGTTATAAGTGTAAGAGGGACTGTGAGTATAGGGAAGGGGCACAAATTGTAACCTTGATTTGTGGGAACAAGAGGTTAGTCCCCGAAATTTGGGACGTCCCCAAGAGTCAGTGGAAGGATACTGTCAGAAACTGCCAAAGAAGGTTTGCTTGGAAATAAAGGAAGTGGCTACAGAGGAGCTGCACTTGAATTGACTAACTTTTAAAACACAGATTTGTTACATTTCAAAACAGTAGAGGGCAAGACCGGGTTAACCTCTGTGCACGCCACCAAGAAGACCTTTATCTCAGCTGTGGGCTGCAACCCCATAGCCATGAGAGGTGGGAGTATATGTTTTATTGGACCTCTGCTAATCATCCTGATATGGTTCACTTTAGTAGTGGCAAATCCATGCAACAAGTGCTTTAAACAACATCATTACCGTGGCCGTGACTACAGGACTCCATTTACCCTACAGACACATGTCAATGACAAGTGCTATAACCAGAGCCAAACGGAAAAATGTTACAGTCCCGATAACGAGTATTGGGTAACAAAAAATTCAGGCTCAAAACCTGGATTGTTATGTCCAACATCAGAGTGACTTTGCTTTTGCCAAGACAGAAGGGTGGATGGAGACGCAAAAGATGTGGCAGAAGTAAAATAGTCAGTACCACAACAACCAAAAAGATCTATAACAGAACTTTATGATACCCTAATAAGAGACCTAGAAAATGATCTGAGATTCCCCACTCAGGGACAAAATTTGTTTGTAAATCTAGCCACAGAAATAGCCAAAGAGTTGAGTGTATCTAATTGTTGGGTTTCTGGGGGGCCCCTAACCTCTGAAGAATGGCCATGGAAAGGGACTATCCTGAGTGCCTTTGATATAGTCTGGTGGAACCGTACAGTTACTAGCAAAATTGTAAGGCCTGAAGGATGGATACTTAACTCAGTCACGCCAGGACAGGAATGCCTAGAACGCCGCGGAAATTCATTCAAAAATTCAGCGGGCAGAACCCTTTGTATAAGGACTCTTGTAACCAATTCCACCCACCAATGGTGGGAACCCCAATCTCCTAAAAGTACCGGGCATCCAAAGCCGATTCAGATTATTGTATGTTAAACCCTGAATATAAATCATATCAATGCCTCATCACAGAAAGCTGCCAAACCCCCACTTTCTGGAATTGATGAAATAACTAAATTTTGGGAAAATATAGCAGCCACCCCTGAGGGGTTATGGAAAGCACCCAATGGTCTATTTTGGATATGCAGGAAACGGGCATATCCAAAGCGCCCTGGCGATTGGGAGGGAAGCTGTACATTGGGGATAATTCAACCTGAGTTCTTCCTTTTACCTCAGACAAAAGGTGGTGAGCTCGGAGTACCTGCGTATGAGGACTTAGTTCAGCAGAAACAATCAGTAGATATAGAGGGAAATCAAAAGTGGGGGAATGATGAATGGACTCCTGAATGAATGATAGAAACACATGGAGCGGCTCCATGGCCCCAGGGTGGTAGCTGGGGGCACCGAACTCCTGTCTACATGTTAAATCGGGTAATTTGATTACAGGCTGTAGTAGAACTAATTTCGAATCAAACTGAAAATGCCCTAGAACTAATAACAAGACCTCAGAAACAAATTAGGGCAGCAGTGTACCAAAACAGATTAGCTCCAGACTATCTTCTAGCAGAAGAAGGAGGGGTCTGTGGGAAATTCAATGCGTCAAATTGCTGCTTGCAGATTGACGACAATGAGGAAGCAGTCTTTGAAACAGCGACAAATATTTGCAAATTGGCCCATGTCCCAGTACGAAAATGGAATTCAGTGTTAGACGCAAAGTGGTGGGATGATCTATTAGGAACTTCTTGGTGGAAAAAGGTTGGATTTTTCTTCCTTTGTGCTATCACAGGCTTGCTGTTTTAACCATGTTTAATACCCTGCTTTATAAGGCTAATATCTCAAGTTATAGAGGGGATGCAAATATTAGCTATGCCAGTAAACCCTGAAATGGCTGCATCGGCTAGTGCCCACAAAGTTATGATATTAAAGACAAAAGATACCACTCAAAACTCATTAGAAAGAGCGAGGCTCATAGTAGAAGAAACCAAAAGAATGAAAAAAGAAGAAAAGAATGAGACTAAGTGTTAATAAGCTCAAGCAAAATATAGTATTAAAAAGAAAAGGGGTGGATTGTGAGAAGTAATAGTAGAATTTTGCTTTCGCTAAAAGTAATTAAACAACTACTTTTATTGAGTTAGGCTAAAGCTGTTATTAAATTAGTGCTCTTAGCACAGTGTTGCTAAAATTGTAACAGTTAAGCGAGCATTTCTGATCACAAGTTAGACATATGGGTGGGCACTGTGGGGAATCAGGCAAGCAAGGAGTCCCCGGGGGGGGTATCTGTGGTTAGGCATCATGTAAAGAGAAACTTGGCTGGGCGGGGTGGGGAGGAATGGAAGCCAGAAGAATAGGGTTAAGCGAAGAACTCCTGATGAAGAGGAACTTGGACATCACCCCCACCAACCCCCTCACAGGACCACCAAGACCAACTGTAAATGCCAAAGAAGAAGGGGGGGGGGGGGAAGGAAAGCGAGTGGGCTTGTTACTTGGCTTAGTCGTATTGCATTATTCTTTGTTTGATTTCATGTTTGAACCCAGTGGTTACATATAACATTGTGGTTGCTTCCACTGCTCAGCAGCTGCCTGTTTGGTGAGAAAAAGTAGTGAAGCAGTGGCAAAGGACTGAGAGAGACAGCCTCGGAGAAACCAAGAAAAAGGAACTGGGCAGGTGCAAAGAGGAGGACTGGAACTATAAGAAGAAACCCTCCATTTCGCTCAACCAATGAAACCTCCTTGTTGCTCTGCAAAAAGAAACCCCTGCTAAGGCAAGGCGCACCATTGCGCCTGTATTCTTTGCTCCACTGACCCTGTCCCCAGCAAAACATTTTTTAAATATACGTGAGCTTGTTTCTCGCAGCTAAGTTCTTACCCGGATCAGGAGAGTGGTTTTGCTGCCCAGAGCTTGACAGAGAAGGACGAGATGGACTAATGCCTCTACCAGAATTTGTGGCACCTTGGGATACATCTTGCTGGCTCTCCCATCGGCCCTAGAGATAAAAAAAAAATTGTGTTTTTCAAAGTCAGCACACCAGTGAGAATACAACAATACTTCCATACCAGGCCAGCCTGCATAGCCCCTTTGCAAAGTTCAGAATGCACAGAGCTGGGGAAAGACCCTTCCCCAGAGGCACTTTTAGTTGAAACACCCAGTCCTGCAAAGATAAGCACCTTCGGCATCAAGGCCCAGAAAAAGTCTACTTCTAGACCTTAAAGCTGTAATATTTCCCTCAATTGTGCAGCTGTGTTTTGAAAGTTGAGTACATTACAACCGGGTGAAAATGAAATAGTACTGTCTGCCCCAAATTCCTAAATATTTGGTGTGCCTACTCTGGAAGCAGTCATGAGTGAAGTCAGGATGCAGAGTGTCAAAGAGAAAAGGGGTAAGGACAGACAGAGCTCGGAACAGGAAAAGAAATAGGATCTTAGACTTACAGGCTGGACATTAGTGCCTAGGGTCAGAGAATGGCTGAGCTGATCAGACCAAGAAGAAGCAACTGTAGTCCTGCAATTTCTCTCTTGCTAACAGAGAGAATCTCCAAGCTAGTACTTCACACCAGTGCACGAGTGTCAAGAATCTACGTAGCCAAATCGCTTTCTTCCTACTCTATCATCTTGATATGTTAAAATCATTGACAGGGTTGTCTGCAATGATTACACTTAAGTGACTGGCCAGAGGGTGTCCCTGCCGAAAGTTTCACGTGGATACAAGACATACTGCTTCACCAAACTGAGCACCACGTTAGGTGTGCAGAGCTGAAAGGGAGGCACTGAAATCCATGTGGTTGTCCTGCAAACTTCTGATATAGGCACACGCACAACGCCTGTCAAAGCGGTTTCCTTGCACTGTGAAAGAGCAGACTCTACCAAAGCTATACGGTGCTAATTTACTTAATTTATAGGAGACCTCAAGGCAATTCAATATCCATTTAAGAGTCCAGGGGTCCAAAGAATCCGGTCTCAAATGCTACAAGATTTCTCAATTTCTTGTGGAAAAGTGTTGTCCTGTTCAGGTAACAGAGTGCCCTCAGGACTACAAGCTTATAAAATTTCACCTTCCTAGAAATAGAGGTTGCAAAGACAGGATGGTGCAGCCAAACCGATAAAATTTGAAGTCTGATTCCACTTCTGGTAGAGAGTTATGCTGTGGTTGGTACAATATCTGTACTTGTCTGGATTAGATTGTATCTGTATCTGAATCTTGCTTGTTCTTTTAAAAGACACATAACAGGAAGAGAAATACTTTCACAATGAGATGATACAGTGAACATACTAGAAGGGAGTCATAAGGGATGGATAGACCTGCTACATCCCAGATCACAAGTTCCATGTAATTTTCCTGGGGGAAGAGGGGGAAAATTCACCTTTTCAAGAAGCTTTATGCTGTTGGATGCAAGGAAATAATATGACCTTGAACAGAAAAATGACAGGCAGCTAAACTAATCGTAACTGTAACTTGAAGTCATGAATGTTTCACAAATAATAAATAAGCCAGGATAGGAGGAATAGATTTCTCCAATGGGTTGAAGGTCACACTGAGCAGCCCAGAGCAAAAATCGTTTCCATTTGGATCTATAAGTTAGTCCCATAGAAGCTCTCCTGCTTTGAATAGCAAGTAACTTGCACTTTTGCAGAGCAGCACCTGTCTTCAGACCTCTACCAGCTAACATCCATATTATTAGATGTAGAGGCAACAGGCGCTGTTTCTGTGAAGTAACATTTGGGATACCCAAAGACTAAAGGATGTCTGAGTTCACTGGAGGCAGCCAATCTGAATGTCAAAACTGATATAACCCAGGCTGGCACTAGCAGTAATACCAGGGGTTTGTTTAGTCTTGTATTTTTGAGGACTTTGGTGTTTAAGCCCTTCTTGAAAGCTTCCTGCTCTGTAAGCATGGAAGACAGAGCTGTTCTACCCCTACCTTAAGCCCCCAACTTAAGCATTATCTTTGACCTGCAACTCATTTATGTCTTAAACACATCAAAAAGTCATGCCTACATCTGGAAAATTCTTTCCACAAAACGCTTCTATGAAACAGTCTTTTCTATTCCACGCCCCAGAAAATCTTATTCAGGCTTCTGCAGTCTTGTGTTTCCACTAGTGCAGGTTTCTCTCAGGTGGCCTTACTGCACGCAGGCTCGCCCCACTTCTGTCCATTCAAAATACTGCTTCAGAGACTGCCTTCTTACCCTGCCATTTTGGTCATTTCATGTGCTGCAGCAGACATTTTAAGCTGGCACGGAAACAGGCAACGACTTCAGACTATGCCCAAACTGTCTTCCCCTTTGAGATGTGAAATGTTTCCCAAAGTCTCCTTCTCTGGCTCCCACCGATGGGTTAGTTTGCAAAAGAGTCAAAACATGGGAAAAGAGTTCATACCCTATCCAGATGGGGAAAATATCTCAGTGTAATTCAGTATTTTTTGGATGCACCAGCTCAGTGGTGCTGAAGGAATTAAAAAAAAAAAAAATTAAAATATGATTATTTGGTGGGAAGTCATCACAAGACTCAAACAATCTTGAAATACTGTTTGGTTCTGTTGCCTTCTGGCCTGGTCTGCCAGCAGCCTGGTAGATGTTGGCATTAGGTTAAGAAATGAACTATGGGAGAGTACAAAGCATCTGAAGGGTTCTATTCTGGAGGATGTAACAGAGCTTGATTAGTGTCACTTTTGGATCTTGGGATAATGATCCACTTACTGAAGACAAATGGATAAAGGTGACATGCCTTAATAATTTTCTAGCTATAGACCAAGTCTAAGCGCTTCCGGAGACCACAGAGACATAAGAAACAGAAAGAGTATTATGGAAAAGTTTTCTAGCTTACTAGAACACTGACTCAATGCAGGTAAGGAGCAACTGAATAATTTCTGAATCACCATTTATTGAGTCAGAAGTGTCCTTCATTGACTGTTCCAACAAAAATAATTTCAGGCAAGTATCTTGACTTTCTAGACCTGTTTGGAGAATGGTGAAAAAAATGGAGTATATAAGAAACAGAGTAAAACACTTCCAGAATATTCATCCTGCACAGAAGGAATGGCAGTGTTTAGTGACTTTTTCCTCAGAAAAAGCCTTTTTTCTTAGGATATTTAGGAAATTTTGCTTCAGCCTTGATATTATGTATGACTACATTTTCTGCATCATTTAAAGTATTTTGCCAGGTTAAATAAAATGAAAGTCCTGAGAACAGGAATGTGCACTTGAGAAAAGGATTTGTCTGGCCATATATTTAAGGTACGTTGGGTTTTTAAATAACACTTGCTTTGGAGAGAGCAGAAAGACAGTCATTTTAGACTGGAGGCCAGATTTGTTTGGGGTAATGTGACCCCCTCAACTATGAGATGGCAGCAAACAATTGATAAGTAGGTAAATCAGGACAACAGGTTGAGATACATTTGCAAAAGAAAATACTGCAGACAACCAAAAGGGTCACCTGTGGTAAGAAGAATCTGCAGAGGCAAAAGCTAGTTCATAAATGATTGAATTTAATAAACTGGATTGAAAGATAACCCATCTCAATCTCACAAAAAGAAAAAAACATAAGAATTATTAACTATATTAACTTGATGAAGTTCCCAAGTTTTGCATAGGCATGTTATATAGCACTCTCACGATTCCTTTGTGCATTCACCAACTGAAACACTTCAACTTAAAGTCTAAGCAATTGGTATTATTTAAGTGCTGTGAATCTTTCCTCTATCAAGAAGGGTGGTGAGAGAAAGGAAGGAAGCTTGTAAATCATTTGCCCAGAGGAGCCATCATTTCATGAATATATCTGGTCTCTGCCAAGTGACCAAACAGAGGTCAAGTGACTTAATTTAACAAATCAAAAATAGCCACCGGAAAAATGCATGTCCCTTGCTGTATTTTGATACAGAGCTGCTCATAAAGTGTTTTATTTCTACAATACCTTCTCTGCCTTCCTTTCTTTCACACATTCTCCATGAAGAATACCAGGGAATTTATTTCAGGTCAGCACTGACATGCACAAAATCTTTAGAGCAAATATGGGTGATCACTACCTAAGTCATCTGTAGGCTTTACCTGACAACAATTCTTTCCTTGAAGTTGACACACCATTAAAATGCTGCCACTGGATAAGAGAAATGAATAGTTCTTGTGTTTTATTATTTCAGTAGTTCAGAAAAGGCTTAGGAAGAGGTGACCATGTAGCACTTAAATATAAGCATACAGCTGGGACAAAAGGCACTTGTTCTCATGAACAGAAAGATTATTCAAATTGATCTACATAGTACCAATTTGTTGAAAAAATTCTGGTTCCCAGTAAAATCTGAAGGTTAAGTGGCACAATCTTCTCTTACTTGGCTTTTGGACACAAGACTTTTGAGCTACAAAGTACCGGACCTTTGGGAAAGGAAGGATGACCGTCCAAGACAGAACGGCTATTGTGCTAAGGTATTTTAACAACAACTCATGGAATTTTTCATCAGTATGTGATTATAGTCTGAAGAAGACCTGTAAAACAAGTCAGAGATGCCTTTCATGCTTTGTGCATCTGATCCATCCAGTTTAAGTCAACTGAATTTTAAAACTTCCAATACAAGCACCCTGGAACATAAAAATCCAGCTACGTATCTTATATCAGCACTAAGAAACTCTGTACTCCTGCATCACCTGACATGTGCTGATGTGCAAGATGAAATAAAATTCATCTCACTCTCCTGTAACCATATCTGTAGTGATAACAGCAGTAAAAATTGGCTTTTTCTCATTTAAGCAAGCAGATATAACTTAGAGGTGAGACCAAATGCAGTCCTGTTAACCTAGCAGGAAGCACTTGTAAGACTGTCTTCTGAAGTAAATTTAGAAGGCATCTCCCTGCCTTCTCAGCCAGTTAGGTAGCTTAATCTTATGAGTTATTATTAAAAAAATCCCAACGGTGACTTAAATATTTCACATGAATGCATATGTCACAGTGTGAGAGTCATCCTGCTCTTTGGAAGCTCTCTGTGGTGACAGTAGACAGGGATATTTTTTAATTCTTTTTTCAAAATTTGCCAAATCCACACCACTGCTCAAGTCCTGCAGAAGAGCTTTTCTAGCTCTTCATGCAGGAGTAACCACCCATCCATGTTTGTAGTAACAAAGATTCAACTATGGCTACAAGATGAACCTGGGTCCTAATTCTGGAAACTTCTGATCCGCCTGTGTTATTCGCATCGACATCATATTTACTTCTAACTTGTTTAATATTCTCTTTTACAGGGGAATGAGTCCTGGCCATTCATAGTGCTGAAGAATGAAGGAGCGTCCACATTCATAACTTTACTGGTATGAATGGTGCTTTACATAGAGGAATGAGACTGAAGAGCCCTTTCCACAAAGCTAAAAATCCACAGTAAAGACAGCCAGAATGCAAGGAATAATCATGTTAAAATTAGAGAGAAAAATATAATGGAATAAAAGTTAAGGAGAGGAATATTCTGAAACATGTCAAGGTCTTCCACTAATATTAAAGTACGCAGGCTTCACAGATTAGTTCTGCACCCAATTCAGGATGTTGTTACTATCCTGTGACTGATGTTTCTTATGATATAATAAACCACTTGTTTGAGATTAGCTTGTTATAGTCACTTGTAAACAAACCCAAATTCCTAGTAAAATAGAGACTTATGACGGCTGGAGAAGACTTTCACTAAATTTCTCTGCAAGTGATGAAGACACCAAACTTAGCTGAAGCTCTGCATATCAAGCTATTCTCAGATCCTGTATGCTAAAATAGATAGGACTGATATTACCAGTGTGCTTTATGATGTCTGTGTGCCAGAGGAACATTGAAGAATTTGCTTAGCGTTTCACGGTGATTGCAAAAGCTTTAGTTCATCTCCCTCTGGAAACTCAACCAGAAATCCATCTGAAACCAGAAAATTCTAACAGGACTTTGCACCCGCGGTGTCTTGAGTAACAAGTGCCTTGAAACGAAGCACGCTGCGAGCAAGGAGGTAAGCTACACAGCCACAGCAACACGTTACGGTAGTACAGGGTGTTTGCCAGCACCTACCCCAACCACAGCGAAGACCTGCAAAACCCCAGGCCAACCACCAGCAATTAGCTCTGGTTAACCAAAGCTTGGGACAACTAAGGGGACAAAAAGCCATTCCTCCAAGAGCGTTAACACGATGCTAAGGATAAGCATGTTTTCTGTTGGCCCTGTATTAATTTAAAATAATGCTTTCATAGAAATCGAGAGTTGTTAACACTGAACTGTCTGAAGCCTGAGAATGATTTGGAAGAAACTCTCAACGTTCATCTCATCTCCAGGCTAATGTATTTTCTTGCTTTCATGTCTATTCCTTTTTTTTTTTTTTTTGCCAAGAAGGGGCCATTTTGGAAATAACTTCACCCTGTCCAAAAAACTGTGAGAAATTGCATTAAATAGCTATAGCTCTGTAACAAACCATAAGATGCACCCAAGAATGAGAAATTTCTCTCATTTGTACCAGTCCCACACTGCATTAATGACAGACTTTTCAATGGAAAAATTAATTTGCTGTGTACTATGCAAATGAGACACCACCAGCAGCATCTTCAAAGCAGGAAGTAAAAGCATGTAAAGTGAGCAAAATAAACTTTATAGTGAGATAAAATTATTATCCCACTCATTAGGTGGACCTAATGCATTACCTCTGCTGGGACCTTTGGACTCTGAAACATGCAATAAGAGAAATTATTGAGGGGAAGGGAGAAGAAAACCAGAAATCATTAAGAACTCTAGTTTTTAATTTTTACTTTAAAAGCCTACAATATTGAAACATCCCACAGTTCTCTCCAAATAGGAGTTGCTATAAGCACTTTATCACCTGCACATATTTTAGCATTCTCTACATGGATCAGATGTAGCAGATTTAGCAACCAATGCTAGAGCACTACATCAAAATTCTATTATTCCTTGCAACTGCATTATGCATTAAAATGCCTTGTCACCACTAGATTCTCTCTTTTAAAATGACTACATGCTTGCTGGGCAGAATATCTATCAGGAAAAGACCCTTCCATTTATCTAGGATTTGGAAAATAAGTTTAAATTTAATCTTCCACTTTTTAAAGAAATACTTTTGATCTATACTGTTGTTTTTAAGCAGTGTAATGGGCTGAATTATCACCCACCACAAGCTTAAGAATACTAGTTTCCCTCTGAAGGTCAGAGACACTCTTCATAGGTCTCTGTTCCGTCCTAGAGGTGGACCTGAATTTACATACGAACCCAAATTTGTCCATTCCCCAGAAGGTTTGCATCCACCGAGGGGAAAGCTTCGGAAGAGCTCTGAAGCTTGACAATGAGAAAATTTGCCCTGATAAATGCACTCCAGTGTGACGGATGGCTACGTTTAATCTCACCTGCTCAACCCAGGTCTGCCATTGTACATCCCACGGCGGCTGGCAGCAGCGCTATGTGACTGGCAAAGGCCTGAGAACTTTCCCAGAGAGATCTAGTATAGCATATCCAAAGCTAGTAAATCCTGGGAATAGTCCCGCGGATACAAGGAGCACACGAGTGCCTCGTCTTTTACAGATATTTCCCACTTATGCCCCTCTAATTGGTCTCGTGTAGTCACTGTAGCTATCTTTTTTCTACAGAAGATTTCCCAGGAGACCTTCAGATGCTTACCCGGTTACTGCTCAGGTTATAGGGGGGTGCTAAATCTTGGCGGCTTCCAGAAAGCTGAAATAGTTAAGACAAGCACAGTTATTTCTTAACTAAAACAACTGATACATATGCCTCTTGACAAACACAAGGAAGGGTAAAAAGAAACAGTTTTGCAGTTAAAGCAGAACTGAAATCCAAAAGATGAAAGGTGAAGTCGCAATTATTGACCTGGAAGGAGCCAGAATTTGTCAAGTTTGATTACCGGTTCTATCAAAGGATTTACTTCCAAATTTTGGACAACAGAAATCTCATCTTTCTTATGCACAACACTGTTACACAGTTTAAGTTCAGCAAATAGTTGTAACTTGCTTTCAAATCTTCTAAAGAAAAAGAAAAAAAAAATCTTCCACCTGATAGCTAAATGAAAAAACCTCCAGTGTTCAGAAAAAAAAAATGCACAAGGTCTTTTTACTTTGCTTTTTCAGATGGTCTGGATTTATGGGGTGCTTTCAAGCATCCTAGCCTCTATGATGAAAGCATGAATATGTGCAGATTTTGTCTCCAGTTAGCAATTTACATGCTCACAAATAGCAGAGACAAACAGAAGGGTCAAACAGAAGGAAATTTATTGCTATACTCCACGACTCTGGCATCATAGAGACCTGTAATTGAAAGACTGGACCTGCTGCCCTCAGTATGCTGCGGATGCCAGCATGGAATACTCACCCGATTCACATTGGGAGAGCTCAGGCTCCTGCGGTAGAGTTTCCCTTTTCCCATTAGCTGTTCTTTTACAGCAACTTCCTGCCAATCACAGAGAAGCAAACCAAAGAAATTACGCACGTTTTGCAAGAATCTAAGCTCCATCATCCCAGGATAGTTTTGTCTATACAAGAAAAATGTTTCTAAACAGCCTAATTGCACAGGCTCCTGTCTGTAAAGTCTACTGTAAACTAAAACTTGCACGTAACACGGCTAGAAGCGTAAGACTGGATAAACTTTAACATCTAGTATTTTCCTGATTGGCATACGTAGGATTTTACAGCTAGTTCTGATTCCAGGAGATGATTGTTACAGATGCAAAGACTAAGACTCTCTTTCCTAGCTGAGCTCTTATTTTAATCCTTTAAACTAATTAGGTACGACAGGGAACTTACTTTCAATACTTAGAGTGCATCATGCTTCACCATTAAATTTATAGTGGGCAGGCACATACTCTAGCTTGTTTTGCATAACTTACTTTTGTGCTTGCATAATTTATATCCAGAAGAGCAATTTTCAATAAATGTTTATCTCTCTTGTATTTTTCCTGGTAAACAGATCAAGTTACAGTACTTAATCTTAACCCAATCAATGTTTTATTTATTAACAGAAGGGGTTTGGTTACTTCAAGGTAGAATATGGGCAAAATTACAAGAATTCGACTAGCAACTTTGGACACTATTACTAAAACCCAAGCTTCAGAAAGCAAAAGCTAATGCCACACAACTACTTTTTCTGAACCATCGTTAGCAACGCACAGTCTTAAAAACAAACCAACCATCCCATAGCAGTGCGTTTAATCTGAAGCTGCCAGTCCCATCCATCCATATTGCAGGTAGTTGAGTGAGAACATCTCTGCAGAGCGCGCTACATTTGCTGCTTTGGATGTTTGCCACACACACACTTTGTGCAGCTGAGGTATGCACAGAAGTGGTGGTTTTGGTTTGTTAGCCGTTGTATGCATTTACGAGAACATTTGCGCTGCCATACACTGTTCTCAGTAAGCATATTCTCTGCTGTCTGCTACAGCCTTGAAAACAGACCTGGCGCAGACGATCCAAGGTGAGAATGTTCTCCACAGCCAGCACACTCCGCAAGTACTTCTCAATATAGGCTTCAGAGTCAGCTGAAGCTGCATCTTCAACATTTGCTGCCATTCTGGCTAGTGCCTCCCGCTCTTCAGCTCCCTGAGCATCCTAGGAAGATGAAAAGGAATGGCATCCTCTTAAAATAAAATAAAGATCTCCCACATCTGTCCCGAAGAAAATGCATTTTTAAAACATGCGGGACACATTCCACATTGTTTGCCCTTAAGCTCAAGGGCAGATTCGGGTGGCTTATTGGAGATTTCTAAATATAAGCCTCATTACATTGAAGGAACTTGTGCCATGCAAACTGCATGAGTGCTCCTACCACTGTCACAGACATCTCAAGCTATATGTGATTATTGTTCTTTTGGGTTTGGTTTTCTTTTTGAGAGTCTCACAGTGAGACGTTGCCATTGATTAGCAAAATGGCTGCATTCAGATATTTTGTAATTAAAAAGTGCTCAAACACATTCAGGGTATTATCTGTCCTGTGAGGAAAACAAAATTTCAAGTGACTTGCAGGAAAAAAATAGAACATTGCTTGAGAAACATTTCAACACAGAGTGCTAAATACAGCAGAACATGAAAGACAGAATCAGGCAGCAATCAGACTTTTGGCTCTTCATGTGTTAATGTTTTTACAAGTGCTCTGATAGAGCATCTGTTTGGAAGGAAAGGATTAGCATATAACTAGGAACATGATCAGGAATCAAGAGTTGCATAAAGATATTACTCAGAAAATGCCAATTTGTTATTTTTTACATATTCTCGTGCTCCCTACATTAGGCACTTCACCTACCCATCTTTACTCCCCTTTTTCTCTCTTTAAAATGTTTCTTCAAGGACCTGAGCAAATAGATGCTCACTCAACAAAATACATAGTGACACTGATAAGACATAGGTTGCTGCTAAGTCACAGCATGTAATGGAATATGCTTAATCTTTTATAAGAACCATTGTTTATGTGGGCAGCAGCAAGAGCTAGCATGCTCAAAATAAAGGAAAAAAAAAATCAGAGAGCTAGAGGCTCTTAGCCAATTCCAGATACGCCGATTTCTTACTCACCTCTGGAATATTTGAGACTATCTCAAAAGTGACACCACAGCCAGGAATGGAACTTCGGTGAGACATTCTTCGGAGGAAACTCTGTGCAAAACCCTGTGGGGAAGCAGAAAAAAGGAAAATATTTCTTGTTTTAAGGAAAACATGGTTTAACGTATTTCAACTGCAGTAAATACAGTTTACAAAGAAAGAAGCCTAAACCCAAAGATTTTAACTTGGAGACAAATAATATGCTTGTCTGCATTTTAGATACAGAGAAAGGATTAACTTTCTTCATTGCAAGGTGACCACTTAACCAGCACACAAATCATTTGCTAGTTCTAGAAGTGGTGGGGTTTTTTTGGGTAGAGCCCTCGGTGACTTGTCTTGAATATTGACAAGTACAGGCATTAAATTCTTGACCAAAGAGATCGTTACGAAGAATGATTTAAGGGGGCATGGTCATTGTTTATGCTGACTTGGCGCCTTGCAGGGTTAAGAACTGGACTGTTGAATTAATGCAGAGATGAGTCATTCAAAGATGCTGCTGAGATGAACAACCGGGAAAGGTTATTGACGAGGATTTTTAGAAACCTAGCAAGAAAGCCAAAGATTCTGTGTCGAATAAAAGTAAAAAACGTCACTGACTAAATCTGTAGGAAACAGAATTGATGAAGACTTAACACAATTGTAATTATTGGCACGCTCAATTTACCTACTGAGTACACTCTTCCATTCTATCTGATAAAAAATTCCCTGTTTCTGAGAAAAAGCTTTTGCCTGACTTAAGCACCAAAGAACTGTAATTCTTCTATTCCTAGCACTAAAAGCAGTTTAGAGTTGCCTACAGGGTTTCTGGGTGTGACTACACCTCTTCTGCTCTTGCTTCAGATTTTAACTACAGAGGTGCAAACAGAATAACAATTCAGGCTTTCTGCTTTGTCATTATCACTGCTAGGGGAAGCTGGATTCTGAAACAATGCTGAACAAACTCTTCCTCACCATCTTTCAAGAATTAAATATTTTTCAGGACATGATGCTGCAAATAGAATGACAACCTTCTGCTTTCCATTTATCAGACATCCTGCTCTCACCTACACATTATCGTAAGAGCACAAGCCAGTTGGAAAACATAAAAGACCAAGAGCGATTAACTTTGACAAATTACACAAGGGGACCTCTGTTCCAACTACTGCTGGTTTATCTCTAAATATCTGGATGCATAAATAGGAATGGTTAGCAGTAATGTGTGAACACACTGTAGGAGCAGGGAAACACACGTTTCTTCTGATGCACAGTTTTTGCAAAACATGAACTCCAAGCTCATGAGAAGTTAACTGTTTCTACTTTTTCCAGTGACTGGGGAGAAAGCACATAGTTAATAGAAATAATACCGAATTGCTCATACTGAAATGCCACCGAGCCTTTAAAAAAAAGCTTCATTATCATCCACAAAATAAAAGATTCTATGAAAATTACTTGGCAGCTTAAACTCTCGATGCATGCCATTGATATGGTGCTTCCATACAGGCAGAGATGAAGGTAGATACGAGCAAATAAGAGTCATAGTAGCAACATATTGCACAAATCACAGCCTTCCCCTCTTCAAGCAGTGATAAACGTGGGGCAGAGTGAAAGTGTGAAGGAATATAAAAGATATACCTGTCTGCCATACACATTAACACAAATGCGTTTGCGTAGCACTAATTGCATTTCTGCAGGGTGACTGAGCTGGACAGTGGCTCTCACAATAAGGTAAACTCTTTCATCTGCTGCTGTTCCTTTACTGAGCTGGATACAGTCGTGGACTGTGGAATCCCATGAGGCTTCTGCTTTCACCTGCAAAGGAAAAAAATGTATCCTCTAATAAGCATAATTAGGTGTATAATTAACTGTAATTAATTAAGCATAATTAACAAAAATACATAATACATAAATTTTGAGAGTCAGCTTCTCCATTTCACTCCCTGTGAAGAAAAATCCCTGCACTTTAGAAGAGGCCATTTAAAAATCAAGATCAGTTCACAAAATGCAGACGTTGGGATTAGAAATGCCAACTTGCTCAAACTCTCCAACATTCCCTCTTGAAAAAAAGGTCTTTGAATACCCAGGATCACTGCAAATATGCAGAACTACGGGACCATTTAGCCTAATTTATTGAGATAAATCAGAGAGTAACAGAAATTGCAGTGAAAATCTTCCATCATACCACATAAATTCTCCTGTCTGTATTTGAGAAATAACTTTGCTGAAACATTTCTAGCAATACAGCAAAAGCTGGAATTTCTCTTCTTGAACGTCAAAATATAAGTATTACTGAAGATTTAAATAACTTCTCTTCAAGCCAGAAGAAAAATGGCCTGGTAGCCATCTTCCTATGCTTTAAAAACAAAACAGAACAAAAAGCCTACCCAAACCATCAGGAATAAAGCTCCTCTAAAAAATACAAAATAAAGTAACTTTGAGAGTAAGGAGCAAAATTTTAAGGTAAAAAAATAAATCAGAGATTCTAAACCTAATAGCAAAAGTTATAAACCAACAATTGTAAAGTTGTAAAACGATGAGCTATGTGGCAAAATGGAGTATAATGAATGTAACACTGCAGAAGTGAGTATGTTAACTGTAGTAACAGTTAAGATTGTTTGGTTTTTCAGCTGGGGGCTTCCATACTCTCCTTTGCTCAGGGATTTTTTTTTTTTTTTTTTTAAACATGAACTCAGAATCTCAAGCTTTTGTAATGCTTGGATTTAGATGAGGGAAGACCCTTGACAAATCATGGTTATACTTGTAGCAAATATTCCTTGAAAACACAAAGTCGGTCATATAAGAAACAAGTGTTGTATACTTTTGCATGCCATCTTTGATGCATTATTTTCACATTTGAATATATAAAGAGAGCAATTAAGAGACTCCTAAACTGAATATACTGGTCTGCAACCCTGCTTACCTCACTATCATGATGCTTCACAATCTGCAGTTCAAAGAATTCCTCCTCCTCTTCTGCAACAAGAGTAGCATCCCACCCGCCAGCTTCTGGGTCATCAAGGTTATCCTGGGAACTGAAATCATCGGCTAAAAACAAAAGTGAACGCAGAAGGTGAGGTGGCACAAAGCAATTATCCTTTTTAAAAACATCCAGCAAGTCATGAATTCACATTTTCATGATTCACATTTTCATCCCCAGCTTGGCTACTTACGCTCTACCTACAAAAGAAAAGCTCTCTGTGTTGTTCCACTTCAAAAACAATCCCCCTTCTATACAGAAAGAGTGCACAGAGATTTGGGGACACAGATTCAAGCATGCCTCAAAGTCCTCTATTGTGCGGGAATCTCCCCCGGTGGTAAACATCCCCTCCTTGCCCACAGGTATATTTTCAGCACTACTGCTCAATCATACTAAGCACATTGCTTATTTAGCATTAATTAGGTGTTGTGGTTTTTTAAAAAATAAAGATAAGCTGCTGGTTGAACAAGTGAAAATACAGTAATTTTAGATCATGATTAAACAAACCCTTAATTTGGTTTTTGAGAAGAAGCTCAACCTGCTCTGGCTTGAGTCCTTTGCTGTGAATGAATTATTAACTAGCTCCTCTCTGCAGCCATTTGATATATCAATGTGCTTTTTGAGGTGAACAAACCATAAATGTAAACAGAATTACAGCAGAGACCTCCTCACAACAGGCAGAATGACACCTCCCCATTCTCACCCGATGCTTCTAATCCAAGTGCCAACCCTCTTTTAAACATTTTAACAGGGATTTGTTCAACTGATTAGGCACTGTTGGCTCCCCAGACTACTTTGGGGTTGCCGCTTTCTTGGGTACAATTTCCCATTTTTGGTAGAAGTATCTGACAAATATGTAGTTCGAACTGGATTTTCTATTTGGATGTATCGAAGCATACATTGTTTAAAGAAACACATATGATCACACTCTGTAAAACTAACTTGAGCTTATCGTGCCATGTTTTTTTGATACATAGGCACTATTCTACCAGTGACTTCACATTTTCTTCTAAGTCATCAGTAAAGAAATTCTAGGATATCAGTGCCCTATCCTGGGAGACCTCGGAAAGAACATTCCCAACAATAATTTTTTCTTTACACTGGCTTTTGCTGTTCACTCCCTTAGGTGTGCCGATTTTACTACTTCTATTTTACTTATTAAATATCTGCAAAACATTGGGATTATTGAAACCTACGGTTCCTTCCATATATAATGCTGTATATTTTGAAACATTAAACAGCATGTTTCAGTGAAAAATGTGTACTCTCAAATTAATCTACCTGCCATTTCAGGCATTTCTTCATTTTATTAGCTTGCTTACATTCTATAATGTCTCTGGTTGCACAAAATTTCCAAGTCCTCTGTCATTTTAAGAACCACTTACCATTCAAGTCAAGGAAAATAACAGGAATGTGAGTTTCCATACCAGGCACAGGGGTCCTAAAATGTAAGACAGGGACAGTGGCAGCATTTAACCTAATGCAGTTTTACCCAGCACACGAACCTTATGATACAAGCCCACAGTACATTACATTCAGTACAACTGCAGTTTTAAGCCAGACCATTGATAACCTTGGCAAACAGCTTTGTTTTAATTTACTGTTGCAGATTCCAAGAGACTCAACTAAATTGGTATTTCTTTCATACCAGATATCTTACAAGTATTATGTTCTTTGACCTCTGCTTTCAGAAATGTTTTCTCCCTCTAAAATGCTAATACCAAAATTAAGTTTATTTACTCTGACAAACACATTTATTAAATGCAAGCCCCTCTGCATTAGTAATGGCAGTGAAGACAGCAGAGTGAGAGACAGAAAATCCAGTGTCAAAGTTTTTAAACTAACATCAATGCTGCCATACTACACAGTTACTACTCTTTCTTACAAAACACACATATTTAAGAGTCAAAGCTGCCATTTAAGGAATCTTTCATATCATGGAAAAAGGGGTAACATAGGTGGTGTTTTGATTGTTTTTAAAATGAAAAGTGCTAGGCCATGGAATATTTAGGCTACACAACATTAATAAGGTACTAAAAATGTAACCTGAAGCATGCAAGACTTTAAGACTCCTTGTTGTAATCTTAGCTGTTAGAAAGGGCTGTAGCCATGATGAACTTGGACTTGATGAACTTTATGGTGAAGAAGAGCAGGCTGGAGTTTTATGTAATATATAAGGTGCTTGAATCATACTAAACATTTCCTCTGGTGAAAGTGTGTTCAAAACATTCTTCTTCAAGTAAGTTTCCTGCAGCTCCACCATTTTCAAACCTAGTCAAACACTTTGATGTAAAAGTTGACGTGCTTCCAACAAGCATTTGCCATTTTTATGTTTCAGAAGTACTAGCTTTAACAAATTTCAGCTTAAGACTCCACGAGACTCAATTCCATCAATAAATACTGTTAGAGGTTTGCTCAGAAGAAAATTCCAGAGAGTCGAAAGCAAATGAAGACAAGAGGTTTGAAGTGAAACAACCTTGCTTCCTTATCTGCAGTTGTTACTCACAGCTGCTGCAGTAAGGCAATCTCGGTCTAGTGTAGTTTACTATTTTTAATGTTTAGAAAATTACATGGAACACTTGCTGGCTAAACAGACTTTGCACTCAAACCAGGAGCACAACAAAATGTCCCTTTACATGCAGTTTTATTATGACGGAGCAGCCTTTTAAGTGAATGAACTAGGTAATTAACATATCAGCTAATTTTTTTAAATGGTAAGTGCAGTGGTAATAAATATTGATTCCATTTTTTCAGAAGGTCATAATTACACTCTGATCAATAATAGTATCGTTTACTAAATAGCATTTCTGGATTTCAGATACACAGCCTAATAAAATAATTTAAGCAAGAGGCCTAATTTTAACAACTTTGCTCATACAGTGTACAGAGGCCAGATTAAGGAAAGCAAAAAAGGCAACAGTCCAAGCCAGGAACAGGCCATGTATCATTTTTACATTCGTTCTTGCATATGGCAATGTATGTTCATACCACTCAGCTGGAGCTCCAGGGATCCCACTGCCAGCAGAAGGAACCATTACAGCATTCCTTTCTTCTGTGAGTGTCAGCCTCATCTCTAAAAGCTGTGCCTCCCGATCTGCATCATCTTCTGTTTTATCTGGAGAAGCAGGATGTCAGTTAGGACAGGAGAGAGCATTTCTTACTCAGTGCTTTTATCATGTGTTGATGATGTTATACCATCCATAACAGAATAAACCCCACTCTGCTCAGAACTTCAGCATGCAAAGAAGAAACACACAGCATTCAAGAACAATGAACAATTTTATATAGGCTTCTCTAACTTTGGTTTTACTGAAAGCAAATTACTGGCAAGATCAGAGATTCAGCTCACCACTAACGTCTTTTCTAAATTTTATGATATATCAAGATAAAAAGTGTGCACGCATGTCTGTCTCAACCTATCACCGTTGTTACCTTTAATAGTATTTTGCTTACCAGGCTTCCCAACGAGTTTCTGCAATTGCTGATCAAGATACTCCTGACGCTTTGTTAAGGCACACAGCCATTTCCGACGGAGCCTCTCCAGATCCCTATCCTGTAAAGAGCAAATGGTCATGTTAAATATTGACCCAGGAAAGCCAAGGTTTCCTATTTGTGGCTTACACATTTCCGCAACCCTTCTGCTCATCCTGTACCCAAGAAGCAGATAAGAAAGACAGAATAGATCTCCAACGAATCACTTAGCTCTTCTGTATTTTCTTTTGCACAGGACAACTTAAGCAGAAACACAGAATAGCTAAGGTTGGAAAGGACCTCTGAAGACTGTCCAGTCCAATCCTGATCTGTGTCCAATGCAGGGTCAATCACAGCAGCTTGCTCAGGGCTACGTCCAGTTGGGATTTGAATATCTCCAAGGATGGAAACTCCACAACCTCTCTGGAGAACCTGTTCCAGTGTTTGACCACCACCATGTTTTGTTTTTTTTTTTAAAAAAAAAAGATAAAAAAAAAAGAAAAGAGGAATTTCTTATGTGGAGACTCACTGCCTCTTGTCCATTGATTGGATACCACTGAAAAGAGCCTGGCTCTGTCTTCTTTACCCCTTCCCATTTAATAGATTGACAAGATCCTATCTAAACCTTCTTTTCCCCTCAAGACTAAACAATCCCAGTTCTCTTAGCCTTCTGTCATAGGTCCAAACCCTTAACTTTCCACATCTTATTTGAAGTATTTTTGCTTGCCAGCCTGAGGCGTCTCTTTCTCTAGCTGTTATTCTGTACTACCCAGCTGAACAAACTTCACTTTATACATCTTTGACCCCAAACTAGCCTAAAACTCACTAACCACTACCTTGTGGCAAAGCTGGAAACCCCAGTCCTTATCCATGAGTCACCATTCACACTCAGGGTTTACCAGCCTCATATTAGGAATCCATCCCTGCCCCGTGTCATGCCACTGTCCTAGTTATGGGATTTGCAACTTTAAAAATATTTTTTCTTAAGGGCTCATGTCCTTCAAGAAAACCCACCTCTATCCTTAAGAACATTCAGGTCATTTGTCTCTGGTGTAGAAATGCTCAGAAATGATGAATGACACTCTACATGCTACATGTTGGGTGCCACAAAGATGAGCTATCAGCTCTGGGATGCCTTCAGGCAAGCGTCTTTTATGGCAGCAGCAGTTCAGATTCATTCCACATCAAACTATAGCAAACACTTTGTCAAGAAAAATGGGTGGATGCAAGACTATAAACTACAGTTGCATTACTCACTCACAGACTCCTACAAGTAGGAGGAATCTGCCAGAGAGCATTAAACCTAAATCTCTAGTTGCTCTCATTACACAAAGTTGAGATCTATAATGACAATGACGTGCTTTTGTTAAAGTTGTTCACAAGAAGATGAAAAATATATCACAGATACTGTACCTCATCAGTTCCCCTTTAAGGCTCATGTTACTGTGACATTATACACAAAAAACCCAGTGTGCTGATTTCAGTAGTTTTATCGCTACTGTCTTAGAGCTCCAGGAACAGAATCCCCCTTGCTTGCCCAAGGGTTGATTATTATGCACAATACCCCAGCTCTCATACACATAGCACATTCAAAATATGAAACAGCATGAAGTATTTTGACTGCATCTTTCAACACTGCCATGCCTATTCTTGTTCATAATGAGGACAATCTCAATCTAACCATAGTTTGTCAAGAAGGAAGACTCCTTCTCCCAAAACACCAACAGTGAAAAGCAACTGAATCTCGTTTTGGAAATACCCATTAAGGCACCTTGTTCTTTCCTTTTCACCTCTCTAATCCACCATATGGCTTTGTAGCATAAAAATTTCTGAGTCTATGCATCTATGCAGTTCTTAAGCTCTCTTCAGAAGACAGGCACTCTGCATATCCAACTAGTACTTCAAAGATAAAATGCCGATCCTCCTCTAACATGTTTTAATCTGAAAATGTCTGAGTTTTTAAAAAGAGAGAATTCAAAAATTTTACCTGATAACTGTCCATTTCATCCTCTTCTTCCTAGGCCAAAACATGCAAAGTCTTGTCATTAAATTTTTTTGATAGCAGGAAACACACTGAATGCAAAAGGTGTAACTATTTTAACCAGTATTAGCAGTCTTACGTAAGAGTCTGAGCTTAGCAATGGCATGATCATAGAATTAAAACTAGAACAATCTAACAAATATAATGAAAGAATTTCACAGAAATATAGCTATTAGAAGTCGTCATAATTGGAAGCAAATGGAATACTTAAATTGCCCTAAGAATGAAATAGGAGTTATAGCGAAACAACCTGAAACCTGTTGATCCTGGACACCAAAGAAAAATACATTGTTTTACCTGCAAGAGATCAGTATGAATGTAACAGCAAGCACTGAAAAATCAAAGTCTGGCATAAAGGATTTGAGGTAAGCTTGCTGTAGCATTTAGAGGAGAAAAACTGTAAACGTCTAAGCCAATTGTTACGGAGTTAGAATAACTCTGTCTGCCACACCAGGAGTTGTGATGTAGACCTTCGACATTTTGATTTCCATTATTTTCTGACGGGAGACATCACCTTTCATGCTTGACATTCATCACAAGCAGAGCCACTTGCAATGAGTGTAAGCGCAACTGCCACTCCTGCACAGTGAACTGAAAAGCAATGAGGACCCCAAACCTCACAGAGTTATTACTTGTCTATTTAAGTAATAAGAAGCCACTGGGGTCTACTTTTGTATCTTAATAATGAAAGCAAAATTTAGCGAAGTTAAAATTAAAAAGCCATATAGAAGAGGCATTTTCGTAGTTCAAGGTCTTTAGAAAATCGTTCGCATTCCACAGATACCGATTTACTTGAGATAGAGAAATGCTAATACGAGGACTAAAAATCCAGGTGCTCAAATCAGAAGGCTATTGTAAGCAACAGGACTAACAAAACATGGTCTTCAATAGCTATTTCCCATGGGGGTTATCAGTGTCAGACACAACTCACTAGTCCCTCTCTGAAATGGAGCTTACATTTTCTTATTGAAAGAACATAATATTTTGCGGATTGTCAGCTCCGCTGGATACAGTTGAAACTGGTCAACAGATCAGAAACTCACTGGGGAAGAAACAGGGCAAGACAGACAAGATGATCACCTGGGACTTGTCCCCTTACGAAACCAGCTAAAAGTATAGTGGGGGTGTGTAATAGCTTTCAAGTAAAATTTGCAAGAATCAATCATTCTGTCTCAGAAGAGTCTCTTAAGAAACTTATTCCATTCAGGAGTAGGAGAAAAACAAAAGTTTACTAGCTCTACAGGACATGGGTATGAGGGACTGCTGTGATGGAAGGGCAGCTAAATAGCCTGAAGGCAGAGTCACTAGCAGAAGCATAATGGGGAATAAAAGCAAGAATCTGCCTAGGATGCTGCTGAAAAGTGAGATCTCCACAAAGGTGGAAAAAAATTACCCTGTTTGTGCTCCTGACACGCAAGGGGCAAGAGATTGCTGAGGTTAGGAGACAACAAACAACCTAACTACTTCAGACCTCACAAAGGGAAAAACAATACTGATGAAGGAAAAAAGGGGAGCAGACACGCACTGAATCATACTCTGTCAACAAGGTAACCATTATGAAAAGCTGGGAGATGTCCCCAAAACTACTTGACATTTAGTTGACCTTGTCTCAAGCAGGACAGCTAATCAAGGAAATCGAAAGACTTGCTTGTTCTGCTGCACCAGATTTTGGCTTGCTAACTCAGAGAAGTGACTAAATTTTAATTTAGCTGTTGGGGGAAAAAGTCAAATTGTACTAGAAACTGATAGAAGCATCTCAGAAAGACAATTCCTAAACCCAGATCCGTATTACTTGCTCTTTAAGATGAGATGCAGCGCTTCTGAGGTAGTCAAACAACTGCCCAACATTCACTATGGGCCAACAAGTGGCTCATATAATTCTAACATTTGTAACTCAACACTATTTGAATGTATGTTCCATTGATTTATTTTAACTTGAATACTTACTTAAAATTGCTGCCATATCTAATATTTGAAGTAAAATCTACTGGACAAAATCCTAATGAGTTCCTAGAACCTTTGGCATTTTCTTTTCTACTTTGAATGGTGTGTTAAGGCTGTGCTGCTTTTAAGGATAGGAAGAAAAAACCCCGAACCAGAAGAGACACAGAAGGTAGTCTCACAAATACTATTTTTGCCATAGAAAATGATTTTTGATTAAGAGGAACATCTTCCACAACTCTTTCTGACAGAGGTTTACATTTAAACTACCCAGAATAAACCCTAAAACCACCATCAAAGCAATTCTGACAATTCTTCTTGACATTGCTTCATATGTTTAAGAAGTAGATTCAAAAATTAGTCTCCAAAACCAAACTGAAACTTGAAACAAATGGAGTCGCCTTCAACTTCAACAAACTTAGGACATCACTTTATGCTTTTCAATGTCTTGGAAACTGCCATAGCTGACAGGAATTATTCAGACTCTTACCTGATGATTTTCAGGTACTTTTTGTGATTTGACATGTTTTATTTGAACACAGCCAATGCCAACAGACAATACGGATTCCTCCATCAGTGGCAAGGTCCCAGATTCCTGTACAGATCTCACTTCAACCTGAATTCGTCGAGATTGCCCCTGCCCAAAGGAACAATTTGAAAAGCTTGGAAAAAGAGTATAAAATGCTGAAAGCTTAATGACAGAGAGACCTCTACTGGCAGTCATTTGCAAGCCACATTGTATTTTTATTTTGTGGAGAACAAAGTGGTGAGTACTGCAACCTCAATGATCCAGTGTTCAAGAGATACCCTTTTTGTTGTAAGGATTTATGTATATACAGAAAAAAAAAATCAGCATTCAGTAACTCCCCAGTTTATTTTCTGGAGGGTTTTCAAAACATACATTTGTAGGATTTTATTTTTAATACTTCTGAAGGTGGAAAATAGGATCTCTTCCCCACCTACAAAAGAGGAGAGAAAATAGTCTAATTTGGCGAGCTACTGCAATTTCAAGGAACTTTTCCTGACTCTGGTCTCCTTGACTGAAATTTCTTACCCACTGATGCTATCAGTGCAGCAAAATAACTGTTCTTTAGTAAAACCCAGAGGGGAAAAAAACCATAAAATAAAAATAATAAAATCAAAAGAGTTGGGGAGTTCAGAGGTGCAGCCTGTATCTAACTTTTACTAATTCTTAGTGTTCTCTGAGTAATAGCTTATCATTTAAAAATGTTAACTACTCAGTTAAGCATTAACAATTTAATGTGTGTAGAATTCAGAGAACAAAGAAGTGGTTGGCTGGAAAGATCAAATAAAGGGGAACTCTGGACCTCTTTAAAAAATAATTAAGTACAGTCGAGACCAATGTCCTTACTATCAGGTGCTCTCACAGGAGAGGGAGCAGAACACAGCACAAAGATTACAGGTAAGCCTTTGATCACCTTTACATCTGAGCTTATGCACACTGCCAGTTCCACAAAACACAGAGGGACACCACTTTCTTCTACTTTATGTCTGGTTTACACAGCATCATATTTTGTGTCTAAGCTTGACAGGTCCTTGGACACCAGCCCTTTACCATACAAAAAGCTTCTTAGCTTCCCCAGGCTCTTTTCACAGCCGAAATTCTGTACGTGCCACCTTACCTGTCTGAGCTGGAAGATGCCTCCTGTGCATACATCCCTGGCAGGAGTCACCTCAACTGGGCAGTATTCCCCATTCTCATTCAGTTCTAGAATTTGAACCCAGAGTTCTACTTTTCGGGTTACTTCACTCCACCTGCAAAACATGTCAAATATGGGTTTTTTTTTTGGTTTTGGTTTGATTTTTTCCCCGAGAAAGAAAAAACCCCAAAGCATTAGCTCAGACTGCAGATTGAAGAAGCAAAGGAACACTCCAGTAGATGCAGCATTTGTGAGTATATAGGGTTACTAGTTGTACATTTTACTGACAACTATTTGTCAAACATCAGAAATAAGCCTTTTCTTGATTCCAATACAAACCCCAATTCCATTATATTCTAACATTTAAGCTCTGGTCTCAACTGCTGCCCCAGAAGCCCAGTGTTGTCAGTGCAATGAGATTCACACAGAAGACAGCAGAATGAAATATGACATTGTCTCACAAGCTTCCAAGATTCAGGGCACTTTCCTGAACTTCATCACTACTGCCTTCTCTCCAATTCTTCCAAGAACTTAAATAAGAAACAGCCACTTTTGTAGTACTTCAAAACTAAAAGAGAAGGAGGTACTTACTACTCAGCTACCAAACATAACTCACTATTTTATAGCATCCTTTTTCCATCTCCTCTTTGTCTTATTTTCTTGAGTTTTCTTTTAAACTTCCCTATATATAGCTTAATACTCAACACAAGCTTAGGCTGGAAGTAGAAAGAGAAATAACTGACAATAAAGTGCAGAGCTGCCTTCTAATTGGAGAGAAAAAACAATTTACATTTAAGAAAATAGTGCTAAGCTTACTTTGGGGACAACAAACAGCTGACAGCAAAAAAGCAACCCCCTTCAATATAAAGTACCATACTGTTGCATATTTATTCCAATTGAAGTAATTAGCAATACAGCTCTTCCAATGGAAGCATTACAAGTGATGACATTCCATGGCCAAGAATGAATTGGAGCCAGACCTTGATCAGCATACAGTCAGAACAACATCCTGCTGTTTTAGACTTAATAGCTCTTTTTGGTGCAGACTAGTATAACAACATAAGGGAAAACAATCAGCTTGCTCTTTTGTAAAACACTACTTACGCACTTGAGTTTGCTAAATAAAAGGGACTTCAAAGTATTTCAAGTTTTGCCATTTTGAATTTGAAACAGAGATGGGCAACTCTCCTCTTTCACTGTTTGAAAGTCTACTGACACATCGCGTGCTATTTTTCCAACAGACAGAGTCTACTTTTAATAGTCTTATAGGTACAGTCTCAAACACATGTTCAGTTGGTTTTCAGTCCAAATTTTGACTACTTTTCCCAAACCTTACTTCAAAATTGGGCTCCTCAGACCATGATTTACCAAAATTCTAAACAAAGGGTCTATTTTCCACATTTACCTGTCACGGAGGCTGCGCGTTTTGGCTTGAATTATTCCCAAATCCCACAGGGCTGGATTTTTGCGGTCACCACTCTGCTTGTGCCCATATACTTCAATTGCCAAAGCACCATCATAAAGATGTTCCATGAAGTCTTCAGAAATATTTACAGAAACTTCCTGTATGTAAGTGACAAATTGGTTGATGACTGTGACTGCACAATGACTTAGGCTTAGAGATTTACTGTCTTGACTTTCATATAAACATGTAGTAAAGTCACCCTGGTCCCCAAGTCACAATTTAGAGGAAAGGAAGAACTGTCACCTCAGTTTCTAAAATCAAGAGGCAAGGCAAAGATACATAATTTCCTGAAGATTAAAGTGTATAAAGAGCTGAAAAATGACCGCATGTTATTCTAAGTCCTGATCCAATGGTTAAAAAAACAATAATTAAAAAAAAAAATCAATCATATATTCTAATGTTCAGAATCAGAAAATCAAAACTCATCAGAATGTATTATACCATTTTACAAATGGTAAGTGGAATAAATTGCTCAGTGTAATGACAAATGATATAAAGAACAAGATGAGAACTCAGGTGATTGGCTGGTATTCATCTAAGCTGACTTTAGACATCTCTATTAAATATGTCTCCAGTTGGACAGTTGCTTGACAGTCAATAGGAAATAACAGTCCGTTCTAAGACACACGTTCAGCATCTACAATAGGACAACAGGCAGCATGTCCCAGGACTGGGACATTTCCCTCCACTACATCAGCAGAGTGATCAGCTCAGATATGGGCATCAAATGCACTCAGATGAATATCTCTCTTCCATTCACACTCAGCATCAATTTTTCTGTGGGTAAACTCTAACATAAATCTCTCTGCTGAACTGATTGCTTTCTTTTATTAATCCACTTCACCTTCTGTGACTTTTGTACAAGTGAACAGTGTAGAACAATCAAACTTGTAGGGAGTCTGAAGATGTTTAAGTGCTTATTAAAAATGGTATTAAGGTGTCATGAAATATTATAATGTGAGCAAAGAGGCAACCAAAACTGTTATGCAAGTCTTTAAGTTTTGCCTGCCTGCAGTTTCACTAATAAAATACAAAAAAAAATTTACATTGCAGTGATCGAAGACAACCATGCACCGTGGTTCCTTGCTGACAGAAGATAAGGAAGGATCCACCTCAGGTGCAACATTAACCGGTTCCAATTGATCCCAGAATGTATATTTGCAGAACACAAAATTAGAGAGGTGCTGTGGCAAACCTGTAGCCTGAAGTATTTTAATCTAGAAAAGAGATGAGAAACAAAGAAAAAGCACTCACTCATTAGGCATAGAATGAAAACTATCTTCTGTTAGAACAATGTTATTCTGTTCTACTGTGAAAGATAACAACAAAAAAAAAAAAAGCAGCAAAACAAAAAACTTTACAAAATACAATTTTCTTCATTAATATACACTGGAGACATTCTTTTGCATGCACCAGCTGAACACTGGCACTAGATGTCACCAGGCACACATTTCTTGGGAGTAAAAGCTAAAGGGCTGAATTTTACAAACACACCAAAATATCTTACCAATTTTTAATGGTGAGATGCACCAAAACCATTGTAACTGAAGAGGAAAACAGTAAAAGTCTCATACTTTTAACAAAACTACCTCCTTTATTCCGCAAAATCCTTGTTTTAAGTTACCTCTTGTCCTTAATTCTGGGATGCTAGAAACAATACAAAAATAAGCCCAACAATATTAAAGTAGCCTGTCCCCTCTTTCAAAATCAAGGCCAATCAGAAACAAAATGTTTTGAATACACCTTCTGAGCTAAATAAAGTCATCATATTAACCATACTATTTAATAAACTTCTATTGTCCATTTGTTAAATTAAGATTAAATTAGTTAGACTTCTATAGTAAGGCAACACCCAAGATCCTCAGGAGGGTGTTTTCTGCAACAATGCCCTGTACCACTTGCAAGCACACGGAGCTCTATGGGAGAGGATAGGAAGTGAAAAATAGTACAATTGCCCCAAATTGTTCATGTTCTCCAGAAGCTGGGGACCACTCCCTCTAGGGCTTTTTGCTTCCCTCTTTCCTTACCTGTAGCTTGGCCTATCTTGCTTTTTACTACAACGCAGAACTGATAGTAAATACTTGCTGCTACCTTTCTTTTTACTATTAATAACTATAAACTCACCTGTATATATTTCACAACATATTGGATATTTAGAGAGAGACATATTGGGAGAGAATGCTTCATAGAAAAATGGGACTTTATCAGATTGACTCCTTTTGAATTAGACATTGTAGCTCCAATCCTAGTGCGCAGATCTTCCATGTCTTCCAAGACTACAACTACCCAAGACAACTGTCTGGAGTAAAACTCTATGCATATAAATATAGTTTAATGAATAGCTTGCATACATTAAAAAAAAAAAAAGGAGATCGAAAGGAACAAAACCCATCTAGTTCTCTTTTATTATTTCAGCTACTCCAGAAACAAACTATTTTGAGAAAAGACCACGCAGCAGCACTCCAGGACACATGCTGGGCACCAGGACATTACGTAAGGCCATGAAACAAACACAGCAAAAGCATTAAATTCTGTACATACAACTGAATGATTAGGTACAGCTAAATTATTTGCGCTTTTTTTTTTTTTTTTTTTTAAATCCTGTAACACTAATACAATTTCATATAGTCAGTCAACGAGTTTAAAGACAGGACTCTGCCTGTGTACCTGCACACTGGAAGCAAACCTGGTGCATGAAGTTACAGAGACACATCTAATGCCCAGAAGCCAATGCATCAAGGACTTCTTTAAGCTTGGAATGGAAAGAGAGAAGGTTGCTCAGAGGTTGGGATAGATCTGGAACTCACCCTGCATACAAGTTTTCTCTCCTGAGTGTCATTTTCACTTGAATAGTCTGGACTATCTTCACCTCCAACCAACTTGTCATCTATCTCTCCACTCACTCGAACAACTTCAATGTGGAGACGACCTGATACCTGGTAAGAAAGGAGTAAGAATTACTCATGTGCCAGAAAACAGTGACAGGTTCATTCCTTTTCAGGTAACCAAACTACAGTTGTTTCCAGTCTGGCAGCAGACAACGTTTCATTCCTTTCTATTGTTTTGCACTGTGCATTTGTTGCATCAGATGAGGAACGCTCTGGAGCAAGAATCAAAGAGCCTTTGTCATAAAACCATAAAGAAAACAGCCACTAGAGTGACTCTGGGAACAGAACACTGCAATCTCACTCACCTTCACACCAGTCTCTAGAGAGTCTGCAAAGTGCACTCCTGATGCAGAGCACCAAGAATGTTGCCTGCTGTGCTTTAGCTGCCTTTGAAGTTGTTCTTACAGTATATATTTAAGAGCCTATTCTTGATGGCAGCCAGTGAAGGCCAGTGGAGCTATGGCTCCAATTTGTCCTACTAAGTATTTATTTTGGACTGCTTTGTTCAGAAAGGTGCTCTCAAAGCTTCCTCCTTTCACAATCACTGTGCTGGAATTCAGAGCTGTCTAAACACCTCTAGTAAGGTATTATGGGATTTGCACAGTTCCAAATTATTAGCAAAGAACTTGTGCACACGAATCTGGAAAATATCTACTACATACTGGTAATAAGATCCATGGGCTGTAATTAAACAGTTGAGTAAGGATAGATTATAGAAGAATAACAAACCTCTCCCTTCTGATTGATGATTGGAACAGCATATTGTAGCTTCACATCATAGAACAGGCACTCAAGAAAAACATTGGCTACTCCGATAAGGCTGTGGTTTTCCTGCTCATCGTAGAATGGATCAGCTCGCCTGAAGTAAGCCCTCATCACCTTTGATCAAATTCAGAATAGCGTAAGAAGAACTTTTCATAAAACAGTTTTCAAAGTGTTGTGCAACCAGCCTAATGAAAGAAAAATGGACTCAAGCAAGAGGCTAGATTAGATCACAAGACAAATGGAAGCTTGAATTTTACTTTGGACCGAGCATAAGGCCTATCCTCAGCGAGTTCTCTTTAATGTTGTCAGATTCAGAGAAGTTGACCTGAACATAAACTCCTGTTGTATTTATCTACTGCTTCTTATTGTATGCTTGGTTTGGTCACCAAACTATGCATGCAAAGAAGCACCAAAGCGACAAGATAAGTGTTAATGAAATGCTGAAGGTCTGCTTCAGTACTAGGAAAAGCAAAGGCTCAGGAAAACTTACCTCTTTGCATACGTCCTCCCACCCCCCAAGATTTTCTCACATCTACTTAAACAAAAAAATTTAACAGGGATGTCATTCTATCAGCACAATACTAGAGCAATTTTTACTTACTGGGTTGTCTTCCTCACAGTCTTTCCACTCCTGATAAAGATCCCTCATATCTACTAATCGATTCTCCAGCTTTTCCAGTGACCAAATCTGTTTGCCTTTTCCTTTCCTTCTCACCTGAATAGCAGGCTCACTGAGAATTGCACCTCTCTGCAAAACAATTAAACAGATACCAATAAGGAAATTCGTGTCACAACAATGAAACAATAGTTTAAACCCAATACAAAACTCAGAATGTCTTTGGGAAAAGTCTGGATTTTGTTCTTTTTTTATTTTAACTCGAGCGACCAAATTCAAGCGAGACAGACTCTGGGTTTGGCTGTCACAGTATATTCGCGTTCAGTTTAACTGAGATGTCTAATCACAGCTACAGGCACTAGTTTCTGTGGATTTTCACCTTCCAAAAGTGTTAGAAATAGGAACATTTAAGCATCTCTCAAATATCCTCAAGTTACAGCAGGCCTGGAGTTCCAGCTAAGGTTACTACTGTCTGCAACTTTCAACTAGTTAAGTTGCAAATGCTTAACCCTCTTTACCATCCTGTTTCTAGATGGGCCAGAAGATTGCATGAAAAACAAGCAGATGAGAGCAACTTCTAAAGCAATTGATAAAAATTCTAATCCTGGAATAAAATACATCTACTGCACTAACAACGGCCTGAGTATCACCAAAACATTGAGCTGACCTCAAGCACAGAAATAACACCAGCTTAGGGAGCCAGTCTGAGACATGGATGTTTAGGTTGAGTTCCATCCATCCAAAATTTCTAAGCTACCTGGAACACACAATCCAGTTCCTCCCTGCACAATGGGGATGACAGCATTTTCTCAGTGGCCTAGGATGATGTAAAGCCAAATGTCCACAAGGTGATGGTATATACTTGAAATAGATGTTACCTAACCTGCCCATATTTTATCACTCTGCAACTGAAGCAAGTGTGAACTTCAACACCAGGGGAAAGGTCTTGCATCAAAACATTTATCAGTAAGTTAGCACATTGTAAGATTTTTGTGGTTACAAAATAAGATAAGGACGTAGCATGTAGTAACAGAGCACATGAATAGACTGGCAAACTATCCAGACCACTAAAGTCAGAATGCAACTCATACGAATGCCGAGGGGCAAACTTATTGAACAACAATTTAGTTCCATTAGGGCTATCTTACCTTACTGTTAGCATTAAGGCTTGAAGCTGGGATCTGGAGAGTAACTTTATACTCTGTCCTCTTGTCCAATTCCTCTCCGATAAAATTGGCTTCTCTCACATACAAATTGGCTTTAACAATCTGCTCTCGCAGCTTTCTCAGGCTGTGTGTCAACATTTCTTCTCTAAAAGAAGGGGATTTGAGAGGACAGGAAAAATGACAGTATTTAAGTATTGAAACTGAGTGCAAACAAACACTTCACAGGAAGGAGTCTTAACATTCAGCTTTTGAACACAAAAAATCAGGTGAATTAAATTGTATTTCATCTGGGAAAAAAAATATATCTGTATGAAATTAGCATACTGCTGGCTTTGGATACTTCTCCGTGCATCTGCTGAACAGTCAGCTCTTGTGTGGCTTACTCCAGTTTCCCCACCACAGATGTGGATGTTCCATCTTACAGAGAAAGGTTTATTCAGACACCATGACCCGCTTGCTCACTGGCCTTCCTGGCAAGTGTGAGAGAGCACCAACTGTGCAGCACAGGAATCTGGTCCCGCAAAACATTCCAGACACACAGCTAACACCTTGTTAGACTGCCTCAAATATTTTCTATTTCAAAAGTTGCTTCTCTAGACATATAGATTAGATTTGTACTTTCTCATTACAATGTTTTTACCATACTCATTGTTTTAAGGTACATTTCATCTTCCTCCTGCAGCAGCTCTTTTTGACAGTAATACTGGAAAAGATCATTTAGAGGCTGAAGTAAATAACCTCAGTACAATTGCCTACAAAGAGGCAAAGAGGACAGTGGCCCCTCTGTAGTTATTAAACACTTTTTGCAATGCTCTGGATCAAAATTCTTTGTATCATCCTCTTACTCCCTCTTCTTTCTGCACTCTTCTGGTTGCCAGGACCTGCCCAGGTCAGACAGATGGATGTGAGTCAAGAGGAAAAACAACCTTCCAGCAGCTGAGTCATGATCCACAGAACAAACTCATAGAAGTCCCAAAATTTCTTCCAATTATGTCATCTTTAGTCAAATTTGTTGCCGATCAGGATAGAGTTTCTCCCTTACAACAAAGCAGGCACTCGTTCTTTCTCATCTTTTCTAGCATTATAGGTCTGATTGTTCTTACACCAATATTTTCACTCTGTCCTCCCCAATCCCCCACAGGAGTCCTCTCAGAAACATGGCAGAGGTATGTAATGCAATTACCATCTTGCAAAATTCACGAGCACTGAAGAAGTTTAAATGAACGCTCCTCATGGTCACGTTTGACTACCCACCTCTCCTCCGCCCACTGCCGCAAGCGCTGCTGAGCGCTGGGAGAATGAAAGGAGAACCTGTCCATGCTGCGGAAATGCTGCTTCTCCGGCGACAGGCGCCTTCGTAACTGCTCCAGTTCGTGTTCATACATCAGCCTCTGCCGTTCAAGCGCAGATCTCTTCTCCTCCTCGTGTTGCTGCTCCAGGCTTTGCAAGATTGACTGCATTGGATCTAATCAGATGTTGAAAATAAAGAGGCTAGTACTTCTGGGGATCAAATACCTGGCAACCACAAAATTAAATGGAAACAGTGCTGTAATGAATATGGGGCAGAGATGGGGGAGTTGGAAATACGAGCCCTTTCCCACATTCCCATAGGTATGCTATATGACCTTGAGCAAGGCACAAATTACTGTGATTTGGTACTTCCCTTCCCCATTCTATATCTGCAGTTATCCATGCTAGGGTCTGCAGTAGCCACTGAAATCCATGGTAAGGAACATCCTAGACAGTAAATGTAGTTCTAAAAGGAGGAAGAAAATTACAATTTGGTTGCAATGCATATTAAAAAAATGCTCCTCAACTGTGGAGCAAAACAAATATCTACAGAACAGACTGGACAGATGATTTAAGAGAATCGAGAAAAGGGAAAGACCAAGCTGAAAAAAACTTCCTCCTGTTTCCCAGAATCATGCTATTCTGGGATGGCTACGTAAGACCACAAAAACTAAAGAACATGGTTTCAGAGACAGAACTCACTATAGTTAATGCCTGAGTGAGACGTAACACATGAAAAATAAACAACAAAGTGAACACTTTGAACTGGGGCTGCAGTTCCACCAATATTCCAGTTTTGGCATTTCCCTCAACAAGAACTGCCAAACAAAACGGCCTGCGATGGCTCTTTTTTCCCCTCTCAAGTGCAAAACTGGCTATGATGAGTCATTCACAAGAAAAATTCTCCTGTAGGAAGTTACAAGGGAAAAAGTCCATGGTTAAGAGTTCCTGAAGATGTTAACCTTGTATTCTGTACATATTTCCAATAATTTCTGTTGCTTCTTACCATTACTACCAAGTGCCTTCATAGTGACTTCCATCTGGGCATATTCATAGCTGAAGTTAATCTCACTAGACACTTCACTGGAATTGTCCCCATCTACGTCCAGCTGCTCAACACTGTTACTGCACTTCATAGAGTTGTCTCGCTCTTCATCCTCATGATCTGTTTTCTTTTTCTTCTTTGGCAAATTCAGCCTTTAAATAAGAGGAAAATTTTTAAAGAACTAGTAATTGCTCAACTCTGAAACAAAAGGTTGCTTTTAAAGATTATCAAAATTAAGTAGATTATCCAAATCAGTAGATTTTTCCCCTTCAAAATTTGTTGATTGCCTGTGACTGTAGTTTTCCTCAGGGTAAACTGAGGGATTCAAGGCAAACTAACTAATCCATTCTGCGCTCTAATAATAGAGAGTACCTGATATTACTAATCATATAGTCTAGATAACCATGAATTTTTTCAGTCGTACCATATCCAAATAATTTAGAGACATATGTGAAATTATATCCCACTTGTTGATTCTTCTTTCAAGCATAAAATAAAGCAATGAAGTTTTAGATTATCATTTTAGTCCACTGATCTCTAAAGACCAGCCACAGAGGGTTTCAAGAATAGAGTCTTTCACAGAAAACTTCTACTAATGATCCTGTCAGATACAGGGAGGCTGTAGGTATGGTCGGAGTTGGAATTCCGGGGAACAGGGAACACAGTCACCCTGTAAGACCCAGATCACTGTATAACATAGGTCAAAAATCTAACACCTTATCTGCAAAATCCAAAAGTCAACCTATCCAAGTCAAAGCTTAGGTGTAATATTTTCACCATGGAAGAGAAAGTACTTAGTATTAATGTGGTACCAAGACACATTAAACATACTAGCTCAAAAATTAATTCTCTTCAGCAAGATAATATTGATAACTACAGCAAGGTCCTCATCATCTAGGTTACAGTCCCTTGAAAATACAAGGGGTCAATCTAATGCTCTGAAATTAATATCACGCACAGTTGCTATAACATTTAGCATTCAAGAACAGTCAGTCATCAGCATTGCCTTTATAATCCCAAAGAAAAAGAAATCACCTCCTCCTGCAGGTGCTCCACTGACTCCTTATACCTTAAGATAAAACAGAGCTGCCACAAACTTATAATTTCTTTAATAGCTTTTGTACCTGAAGAAGTGGTTGTTTCCCCACAGTATTCTGTCTCCATGATGTAGCTGAATAGGACACATGACAGCAGAACCATTTACAAACGTCCTGTGAAAAGGCAAAAATACAAACCAAATGCATCTATATAAGGCTTAATTTTTTTTCCAGGACTACTTTCTTTATTGTAATTAGTTAAGGTAGGAGAACAAGTTTATGGATGGCAAACAGGCAAAATATCCCCAGAAACTTCATTGATCTACCCTGTACTGTTTCATAAACTCCTCAAACTCAGCTTCTTTTGACTGCTTAAGCTTACGGAGTTCAAGAATTTTGGATAGATATTATGACAACTATGTCTGAGGAGTATAATTATAGTTTAAAAATGAAGGGCCTGAAAAAAAGATGATGTAATTGGAAATAACTTTTCACAATACTTTCAAATACAGATGCAAAATAGAAACATTTGAATACGACATTCAGGGACATTTGCTACATAAAGACAAACTAATTAGAATAATCAGAAAGTTTTTTTATTTCCAAGTCAGATTAAGTCTGAAAATAGGATGATAGGATAACTCAAATTTGAAGGGAATCTCGGGATGTCACCCAGTCCAATTCCTTGCTCAAAGCAGGATCAATGTGAAAATCAGTGTAAATGTGAAATTGTTGAATTTTGTGTATCTAACAATAAATTATTGGAGATGCTGACGATGCATGTTATTTTGTGATCAATTTGAATATCCCATCTGTTTTTCAAGTACTGCTACTTAATCAAATAAAGCAACAAACGCTTCAGCAGCTCTTTGCATATCAACAGATTTCCTAGAAGATTAATTCAAATTTTGATAGTTACATCTACACAGCTGCAAATCAGTGAGTATCTACTTGCTGAAAGCATATGCAATTTACTCATCCTCACTTTGAAAACGTAGTCTACAAACACCATCACCAAGAGAAATCTTGTTAGAATGAAAGACATGAGTTGACAGAGGCATAGATGACAACTTAAACAAAATGTAAAAGCAGAATACAAGAAGTAGAATTTTCTTACTTTAGAATACAGAGAAGTGTATTTTTCAATTATATTTTTGCACTACTAATCATAAAATACTAGATAAAACAGCAATTATTAAACAACTGGAGCTCTGTTTTATTCATTTACCTAGTATTTTTTTGAGGTGTTAACATAACCTGTCCTTCGGGGGTGATGTCTATAATGCAGTGTTCAGGAAGAATTCCCATTCCACACAGCTGGATATCTTGAGAGTTGTCGGAGCCTATTAACGTGTGCTCCTGGGAAGAATCAGTTCAGATGTTAGCAATGGATTGCAGAAGTTCACTAGTTCTAACTCATCCATTCTCCTGGATGTATCTTGTCATCCAGTTCCAAAATTCAAAAACTGTTCAATACTTCCCTTAGAGGGAAAAAGGAGAATGAAACATTGCAAGCAAATCCTCGCTTTGTCTTACAGTAAGAAGTAGGGAGCTCTCAGAAAAGTTTTCAGGCAACAGTTAAATCCGAAGATGAAGAGGTTTCTATAATTTAATTGTGGAATTCGGTGCCTCAGGATGTTGTAGAAGTCAAAAGTATAAAGGAGTTCAAAGAGGATTTAAGACAGGTTCACAGTGGTTAGATCCATGACTATTACACAGGTTCTACCTAGATCATCCAACAACAGGTTTGGAAATTCCTGAAGTACTCGAGGCATGAGGGATTTGGAAGATGAAGGATCACTCCTCACATGCCTGAATTCATTAATTTATTTTTTAGGCATCTCTAAGCAATTTTTGAGGAACAGACACAGCAGTTTAGATAAGTCAGATCAAGTTGTTCTTCAGTATTTTAATATCAAGTCCATATGCAGCTCAGCATTAAAGAGAATGTGGGCAAGCTATTTACTCTGAAAAGCAAGACAGTTTAATTTCAGGATTTCAGGCAAAACAGGTGCAAGTAATTTGATTGAAAGAATTTCAAAGCGCAGGAATTTCTACACCAAAACTTTAAACCAAAAAACAACAAATTTGTGTTATTAAAAAAAAAAAAATAAATACTAATGGAAACACACAAAACCTAACCCCTGCAAAGGGGTTTTCTCTCAAAAAGGAAAGTAGCACAGTACCACCTGAGGCTTTCCTGCTGGCAGTGAAGGGCCCAGCCCTGTTTTCTGAGCAGGCTTTGGCTTCAGTGCCCTCTTGTCGTGTGTTCACAATGAACACGCCAGCAGCTGGCTCCGCTTCACTAGCTGTCAGTGTCGAGGCTGATTTACCAGTTGGAGTCACACCTACGTGCGAGGCGCCTGGAAAGGATTCAATTCTCCTCCCAAAACCTCAGCGCGGCTCTTTTGTCCTTTTTAATACTTTTTAGCAGCTGCAACACTGAGAAAGCTCTTTCCCTTACTTTCATTGAGGTATCAAAGAGCAACAATGACTGATATAAAAGAGGATCACGTACTTCCTAAGGCTGGCCAAACCAAAACCATCTTTCAGCCCAATTGCTAATTTTGTGGCTGTTTTGAAAGTTACTACAGACCACTTCAAAGAGAAGTTAATGATTTAATGTGAAGATCAAACTGCCGATGTTCTTATACTGCTAAATTTTTAGAACTTGTAGACTAAATTGTGACTTAAAAATGGTTGTAACCTCATTTCTCCTCCTGACTCCAGGTCACATCTACAGTTTGTAAACTAGAATAAACTGCCCAAATGTTTCAGTGCAGAGTCCAAAAGTCACGTCACGTGTTTTATGTCTAACATCAGTAACAGGGTCTGCACATCAGCAGAAATGCTAAGGCATGAAGAGGAATAAAAATGCATTTTGAGAACTGAAGACAGTATTCAGAATTTGGACTACATGTGTAGAAGCAAACTGATTACCGATATGCCCAGTCTTTATGTAAAACAATTTCCTGGGTAAAACCCTGTGGAAGTTGGCATAAAACCCTTTAAATTTCTTTCAGAAAACAAAACAAAAACATAAAATCCCCAAACATTCATCTGCTATGAAGAATTAAATTTGAAATAAAAAGGTTGTATTCATATTATTGAAGCAGTGAATATCAGAGAATGCTTTAGATATGCAGTTTTTATAAAATTCTCTAAGTACACCTCTGCCAATCTCATTAGAGGCCTACTTCTATTAAAAAAAAAATATATATATATGTATCAATATTTATTTTTACCTTTAAATAGTATACCAGAAGTTCATTGAGAGCTGGATCTGCATTCAGATTAACCAAGAAGCACTTATTATCCCCAACTTTTATTCCAGAAGATTGAAGAGAGATGCCAAGGCTTTCCAACTGTTTCTGACGCTCCTGCAAGAGAGTAGCCATCAAAATTAAGCTGACTGATGTACAGCCCTTCAGAAATGCATTCCTATCTGCCAAAGCCACAAAACAAAATGATGGGCTGCTACTTCGGAAAAAGGTAACTTTCTTCTGCAGTAGATTAGACACAAAAGCCTTAGTTATATCAAGGTTTGATCAGGATATCTGTAATTTCTCTTGTCCTTCCACCTCTAGTCTCAGAGGGCTACGTGTAATGGTCTCACACAGTTGCATCTTCCTAGTGAAAAAAGAAAACAGCTGAGAGCAGCACACTGCAGTACTGTAGGAGCTTCTCCATGACCTCACTGCAACAGCAAAATGCTACCACAAAGACATCTCTAGAGCCCTTTATTTTCTCTTTTGAGCTAAAAAGCAACAAGTTAAATTAAATCCCTGCCAAGTCAAGCTCCGTGTCTATCTTTTATTCCAGAGCAATCAAAATGACAAAAAGCTGGCAACCTGCTATTTAAGTAATGCAACTAACACTTCCTGCTGAACAAGAATAGTAGCATTTTGGACGGTGTTTTGTTCTTGTCAATAGACTTCATAGAATTCAACAACAAAGCATTACTGTGCAAAAATGTACATCTTTCAAAGGGAAGTGTTTGGGTGAAGACTAGAGCAGTGAAAGAGGAACATTAAACATTTCTGCCTTAAGAACAGAAAGGGATTCTTCTATCAAAAAAAAAAAAAAAAAAAAAAAAAATAGAAATGTTGAGAATTGTTCCCAGAATCATATAGAAACTGAAACGAGACTCTATCCACAACAGCAAACAAAATTTTAAAAAATAAACACTGGAGACCTATCACAGAATTACTGGAGGGAAGTAGAAGGAGAGGAGGGTAAAACAAGTAAGTAAAAAAACAGAAGAGACCTACAGCACTTTCCCTGTGATGCTGAGACTTTAAAATAAAAATAAAAATTAGCAAAGATTATGTAGGAATAATGCCAGAATGTTTTTTAGGGTTCTGAACTTCACCTACCAGTTTGCTTTGTATTAAAAAACTTACTATGTCATACTATTCAGTATAATTCTCTGTTCAGAATTGGAGTTGTACCAGGTCTAATCAAGATTAAAAATGCAAAAAATAGCAAGTACAACTTGCTCTTGATTTTCTCTACCCTGTCTCCCCACACACTTACAAAATCAGTGTGTGGGAGCAGGGAAAAAGAGAACCAGAACAGAGGAAAAACTGCAGTGTGATATCAAAGATCTCTCTTCTGATCATCAGTGTCAGGCTCTGAAGTTCACATTAATTTCTTATTATCTACAGAGATAAAGAGTGCGTTGCCCAAAGGAGAACTTGGTCCACAATTTAAATCTCACAGGATTAACTTAAAGAAAATGAGCCAGTTTCTGTTAACTTTTGCTCAAGACCTAATGTTAATTAAATTAAACACTCAAAATATATTAAAAGTATGTCAAATACTCACTGAAAATGTGAAAAATTGCCTATTCACATAGTCTTTAAGGCTCTGAACCCTTATTGCAGCTCCATCTTTACACAGTGCCTCTTTGATGGCCCTCATTCTTGATGAGGAATCATCCTTCCATCAAAGAATTACAATTTTACAATTATCTCTCCATCCTACCCTGCTACAATTTGACAGACAGCTGTGGATGGATGCTGGCCAAAATTAAAATTACTCGACAAGCCATGATATAAATGCTTTTAACCTTGGGCCTCTGTAAGCCTACTGAAGATGGCCGAAGGTTCCTTCCATTGGCTTCCAAGTGGTCCTGAAAGAGCTTTATACTGCACAAACACTTGTTCTTATCCCTCCTCTGAAAAAAATCGCTTTTCTACAGCTGCAAGGCTCACGAAACTCCCAGCTCCAAAACATCGTAACATGCTGAGGATTTTGAGACAGAAAGGAAGAGAGCTAAAGCAAGCAGCTACATGCAAACACCAAGGCAGATTTAGTCTGCACCATTGAGCCAATTACTCCATTTTTTCAACCTCTTTGAACGCTCAGGGATTCTATGCCTACAAACTACTGTGTAGAATGAGAGCTGATTTTTAAAAAATCATTATTACTATTATTATTACTAGTCACCCTTATACACAGTGATGAAAATCCTTGATACAAATCTGCCTTGAAAGCCAGGAAGCCCTCGTAGTCACAAGCAGCATTTCTGACAACGAATCTTTAAAACTAAAGTCAACACAGTCTGTTCTGATTGTGTCATCTACAAGAGGCCTTTGCATCGGAGGCTCCCTCCATTTTCTCCTTATTTATTATATGCTATTCATCACCTTTCAATAGTCCTCCCCCACAAAAGCTCTCTACTGCAAATATATACATCAACATTTGTTTGGTAAGAATTGCAAGTGTTGTATAGTAATTGTGGTGACCTGCACAATTTTTCAACATAACCATCATACTCAATTATGGTCTGATGCCCTAAATATCTGTGTAAGAGGTATTAAAACATAGCGGGATTGGGAACAGTTCTACTTTTTAACACTCTGAATGACCTTTGCCTTGTGTATTGAGGCATTCCATACATAACCTTGCATTTAATGCTCTCAACACTCCATCTTTCATCACAAACAACAATTTGACTGTCTGAAGAATATAAAATCCCTGTAATCCTCTCATCCATGGATTATTATTTTTTTTAAAGTAACACCTCCATTTGCATACAGTGACAATTTATTATTGTCATTGGAATAGTAATCTGGGAGGCATCCAGCTATCATAGGAATTAAGTGAAGCTTTCAAAAAGGGCAGTAAGCTTGACCTACTTACTCATAAATGTGGGGAGAGATTCAGAGAATCTCTGTGAACTGACAGACAAAGGAAACAAACCTATTTGTCATAAAAAAAAAAAAAGGGGGGGGGTGGGGAGGAGAGGAGGCATGTGGAAAGAAAGCAGCAAACCTGTGCTATCTCCTCAGTTTTTCTTAATTTTTCTTCCCAGGTCACAGTCATTTCCTGAATCAACTTTTCTGATTCTTCCAATCGTTCTTTTAATTCTGGTGATTTCATAGCCTGCAGAAATAAAAGCGAATAAAACATGAAAGCTTGCTGTGCTTTGTTTTTTTCACATCGCTGCCACACAGATAGGGAAAAAAGGAAACATAACTTTACTAATTTTCCAAGGCACACTTATCAGTAAGTAAAGGGCTTTTTAAAATACATATTGCATATAAATACAGTATCCATCAAAAAGTTAATTAGTTTCAAGTACAGATGCTAAAGTGGAGTTTATATACTTCAGTACAAACCAATTACACGATACTGGCAGATCTGCACAAAGATATTCAAACACAAACTAATCTCATTTCTATACCAATACAAGTATCCCAAACGACTCCTACCTAAACAATATTGTTTCTCCAGAGAGTGCTGATCTGGCTAGCCACCACTGTCTCAGCTGTCATTCCCTCAAAATGGCACTTAACATCTCTGTCACTTAAACTGCCATGCCACCAGAAGATCTTTATTGTTCATTTTGATATGATGTGATGGGCGTGATTTTTTCTTTCTGTAGCAAATATCAAGGCATCCGTGGTGTTCTGGTTACCCACTGCTACATACACACTTTACAGAGTGGATATCAAAATAAGGCTTGTGATGTGCTCTTCCGGACACTGGAATTCGATTTTCTCACTAATCCATCACAGCTCTAATTTTGTTTTGTGAAATAGTCAAAGGTCCATGTTCCATCCAAGGACTAACTTGAGAATAAGCAGATACCCCCACTGCTACCCATCAGACACTCCAAAAACTGAAAGAACATCAACATTTTTATACTACATGTATTTACTTCCTCTAGTCTCGGTACTGGCATACTCCTTCCCTACCACCTTGAACAGGAAGCCTGTGGACTCCCTTATGTCATTATTTCATTACCGCTAACAAGATGAAAATGGTTTCGGCTAGTAGGTATTTATGCAATGCCAATTAAACAATGCAAGCATCGTTCTCCATCAGATATTCCCTTACCACAAAACCAAAATTCCTCACAGGAATCCAACTCAGAGTGGCCTCATTACAGTGCAGTTTGTTCAAGAAAAGGAGCAAGTGCCAGAAGTGGAAAATCCTGTTTGAAGACAGGAGTTTCCTCTGCTTCAAGACACAACAGCCTAGGAACTGTCAGCTCATGTGTCCTGTGTTGTCTTTTTCTGCTTGAATATCTCAAATACCCCAATACAGGGTAAAAGGGAACATGAATTCCACCCAGGAAGGAAAGTGAAGCCAAGGAAATATCCCAAACAAATGTTTATTATGACCAATAAAACATGATCAGTGCAAAGGTGCTGGACCTTATGGAGCAGGACAGGAAGATGAAGCCCAGTTACTCTCAAGGTCTAAGTCTTGTTTGTCCTTTTATTTGGACCTGGGGCAAAATTACTGAACATTTTCACACGCTTCTATTGTAAAATGAGCTAGGTAATTCTCACTCCCTAAAATGCTTATATAAACAACAGGTATATGGGCCCAGATTCACACCACACCGGCAGGTATGCTGCTCTGCTGAAAGCAGGTAGTTTCAATTCCCGGTTTAGGAAGGACAAGCCAGTGGTTTTGGCACTGACAAGTTAAAACGTGATATTAATTTCAACAAGAAAAGATCAAAATGTGTGGATTAAAAAATAAAGGGGGAAAAGAGGATAATGCCTTATCTGTTTGCCTTGACTGTTTAGGAGAGAAAAGGATACAGACACCAAAAGGAAAAACAAAAAACAACAACAACAACAACAACAAACAGAAACAGAAACAAAACCACAACTCAGTAACCTTAATATTTGAAAATGAGTTTTGAAAATGTAACCTGACTGTCATAATGGGTCAATGTTTTTGTTCACTTAAAAAAAAAATGTTATTTATGCACATTTCTCTAAGAACAATTAGATGGGCTACAAATGGAATAAACTGAAAAGAGTACAAGACAATGAATGTGGTTCTTGACCTTTATTGTGTAGCCTCTTAATAGTAAACCACACCATTTTTTCCGTGTTCTTTGTCAATGCCACTGGGATGACAACTAGGGTGGGATTTTAATTACTTGGGAAAGGAAATATTTATTACTTCATATTTAGGAGACACTACTTCATTGCTTTGGAAAGCTGCCGTTATTTTGGCGTTAATGCTCACAAATGAAACAAATAGGGAGTCTCTACATCTTTCAGAGTAACGTTAAATCCATGGTTCTTATTTTAGAGGAATTTTTAGATATTTGAGATACCATAACGAAACTGATATACATTTATTGGATGCTTAGCATATTAAGCAGCTCAAATAAGAACAGTCCAAAATTCACTAGTCATTTCTAATATCACAGCCAGCATTCCCTGCATACCTCAGGAGGCAAATACTGCAATCATAATTTTTCTGAATTGCAAAACAGACAGATTATATCACCATTGCTTTGACACATTTGAGAACTCAGAATTACACTAGTTCTTGGCCTTCATCTAACATTTAGACTATGCTCCTTTCACTATTTCATTTAGGCAGCTATGCAGATATTCACAATATTGTCTAGTGCCTCTAGAAGACTCAACTGAGAACAGTTAAAGCTTGTAAGCAAGCATTATTTAACTGAATCCACATCTCGCAGGATGTAGTCACATTGAATTCTTAAAATTCTTAAAATACACTGGCCAAGCTCTGTCTATAAACTGCCCAACCTTAAGACTCCGCCCCTATTCCTGCCTCCATGTCCTCTTGCTTTTGATCTGTGTCTCGCAATAAAACCAAGATTGCTCAGCAAGGTGTTCAAACAGAACCTGGTATCTCATGTTATCACCCGTGTTTCAAGACCGATACACAGAAAATTGGAAGGAAGTGAAATAAAGGGAGATTTCTCATAGACACCACGTAGTAATTCTCTGTTAATTTTCAAGAGCCAGGTAAGAAAGTCCTGACAACGGGGTTTACAAGACTTACTGGATAGTCAAGATTTAAATTTGTACCTCTGCTTTTGTGAGCTGTTCTCGCAGCTTCTCCACTTCCTCACGGAGCTCCCGAATAATGCGAGCGTTGGGGTCTTCGTTCACCACGGCATGATTAACGATGTTCTTGGCCCGGTCTGCATACCTCAGTGTCGAAAGGGTCTCATCATAGTTGTCTGCTGCTGGGCTCACTGTTGCTACCATGGCAGTCTTGCTGTTACCACCAAGGCTATCCTGTAAAGTGGCAGAGGTTATCAAATTAAAACAGGATGTTTCTTTTGTTTTACCCAGTCAGTGAACTTAGGCAGCAAATAATAACCTAGGGTTGGCGGTAGATGGGGGCAAATAATAACAAACATTTTTGCCAGAGCTCCTCAGTTCAAAATTAATAAATTAAGCTCTGTAAATCAAGGAAAAATGATTTTTCTTTTTTCTTTATTTTTTTTTTTAAGCACATTGAGGAAAATTCATTCTTGACTTTCAAAATCAGTTTTAGTTTAAACAGGAATGAAAACAATCCCTCTTTTGGGCTTTATGGTGCTTAGTAAGGGCTTCAAAGGTTTACTTCTATTTTTTCTGCTTAGGCTTATTAAACTTCTCAGATACTGTTGAAGGACCTCAGGAAAGATCATGATGAGTTCAGAATATCATATTTTAAAGACCAGAAGTGAGATGTCTCCAATAATTATTTAAATTACTTAAAGATCTCCTCATAAACAACATAGTTGATTTTATTCTTATAAAGAATGGGGTGCTTTCTGTCCCCCCCACTTACACAGCTCACAAATCTAAATCGAGTTATGTAAGAAATGACTCTTCCACAATTTGGTTGACAGTGAAGGGCGTGAAACCACATTCCTGCAAGGCAGTGTGTTGGGGGGAGTGCGGGGAGTAAGGAAGGAAGCGTTCGATCTTTTTATTGATCACAAAATTGTCAGTTACAATTTTGGCCCGCCTGAAAGATTAAATATTCTGTTTTAAATTTTGCAGAAAATATTTTTTTTGTTTGGTTGGGTTGTTTTGGGGGGGTTTTTTGGTGGTTTTTTTTTTGTTGTTTTTTTTTTTTACCCAAGATCCCCTTCTGAGACAAAACATGCTATTAACTTTCATCTTCAATAACCCATGAAATCTAGGTCAGGCATTGCCATTAGAACTATCTGACTATATTAGCTGCCTGTCTAACCATTTCAATTACAAAGCACACACAGAGTTTTCCCTAGCAATCATTAAAACACCCCTTTAAGTATTTCCTTAATAGAGTCCAAAGACTCTCTTTTTTGCTGCATTATGCCTAAAATAGTTTGACAGCAGTCTGGCTGCTTCAGTGGTCAGACAAGCATCGACCACACAGACTGATGTTGCTTCGCTGCTGCTCTGGTACCACTCTACTGTCTCCAGTCATGCAAAAGGGCTGCTAGCTCTTGGGGTAGAGAATATAATTTCATTTGTATAGCATTCAGCACAGTGAGGTACACCAGCATGGTTAGCACTTGCAGGTAAGAGAAGTCAAACGAAAAGAACAGCCTTCTGACTGATACCAGCGTGGATTTTTTCTCATCTGAGGAGCAGCCAGTGTTTACTCCAATACATACATGGCTTGGGAGCATCCACTCTGTAACACAGAAATGTTCTTCCAAAGCATCTGTTGAAAACTTTAAAAAGACTAATAAGACCACATGACTCATCTGATAGGATTTCTGGCTCTACAGAACCCAGGACTTTTCTTCAGTCCATCAACGGTTTTCAAAAATTAGGAATGACACTGCAACTGCAATCCCCGTTCTGCATAAAAAGATGAAGTTTATCAGGGATCTGGCCAGGTACTCCGCCTCCAAACCAAACCTTAACAGTTTGCACTTTGGGAACCTCTTTCACTGCACTAATTAGCTCCAAAATAGGATTAATTCATTATTTGAATTGCAACTGCTGTACAGGCAGCTGAGAACACTGCTACAGTGATACACCGTAATTCACAAAACACCCATTATAAGTTGGGTAAAGTTCCTCTATTATTGTAGCTATTCAAGCCCAATGCCAGACTGTCTGATAAAGCTTTATGTATAAAACCGTTGTGCTGATTTCACTGGTTTCTTTAATGTTAAGCAAGAAAGGTAGCCGAATAGTTAGCCAGATTCTCATTAGCAAAGACAGCGCCTGCAAATTACCCTGGAAAGGCTGGGCTTGCATGTGCTAGAGAGGGACACAGAGTGGAAAGAAGTAAGTTTGATTATTTCTAAGACTAAACTACCTCAGTCTTTAGCACCAGGAGTACTGTGGTAACAACTTAAAATGTACAGACCAGAAATTATATTTTTAATAGCAGCCATCAGTAAAATATGCAGGGCTTCTAATTAAAATGGGAAAATGAGATATTTGTGCCAATACAATTTGATAAAATCAAGACAATAAAGCATTGACAAGCTATTTTGCCTCCTACACATAACCTGATGCCACTCTTGAAGTCTCTTGCAATAGTCTTTCTCACCTGGTACTTTCATCTAAAGATCCTCAACAAAATTAAACAAAAAATGCTAGATCTTGAGGTCTCCTGAACTGTACTGCTTTCTCAGATTTGTGGTGAGACCCTGTATGACAGATATTCCTGGTGTTAGAACATCTATTCTGCTTTGGCATCATAATTAAAAGGTGAAAGCTAGAGAGAGGTGAGATGAGATGAGATGAGATGGGATGGCTAGTCTACCATCTCACAACTTCTACAAACAGGCCGCTCTAAACAAATAAATCCCTCCTTTGATCATTAATTAAAGAAAAGTTTAAATTTTCCCCTTTCAAAATAAAGCTTCTCTTCAATGAGCTTGTTTGTAAAAAATCCAAAAGCTCCAAACCTTTTGTTTGCACTTAACATAGCTGGATGTTAAAGACACAAAGAAGGTTTGCTTGAAAGAAGGCAGAACAAAAGTGCACTTCTATTTATGAGCTAAAGCAAGTGCTCTGTATGGCCATCGTCGTCGTAGCTACAATGCATCAAACAGGTGCTAAACAGGAATTTCAGTCTGCTTGCTGGATTTGTTTAGAAATGGAACAGCATAACTAATTCTAACAACGACGCTAGAAATTCGTTAGGAAAGTTTCCACTCTGCTTGCTCAGACTATTACAGCCACATCAAGAACCCAAGCACACATGCCATCAGAGCACACTGAAGCAAGCTGCATGTTGGGTTCGTTCCCATCTCTACAGAGAGCCAAAAAGCACTTGTTTAATTAGACCAAAAACTCAGTGTAAATAGATAGAGGCAAAAATATATTTAAATGCTAAGAAAGTCTTCAGGCAAGGAGCACTGTGAAATGAGGATGTATTTTACTGCAGAAAAGCACAGACATTATTTTTGTTATACCATTCTGATTTTTATGTAGCCCTCATGACTGTACTCTGCCCAGTATCTGTGATGTTTACACTAGGGAAAAGAGATAAATCATTGCACAGTAGTCATGCTAAAAGGTTCATTAAAAGACAGCACTGAGAAAAAATGAAGGCTTGTGGTGTCAATGAGTTACATGAGTAGAGATTTTATTTTACTTAAGCATTGAGGTAGTCAACTTCGTTTTCAAATCTCCTTAAGGAAAACATCTTAAATCTCCACACCCCTGTATAACCTGCAAGTAACATTTTCTTCTTCTTTCCACATGTGCAGTTAAATCATAGGAACATCAAATTCAAACAACATCTAAAAACATTGCTAAGAATGGGTGGGGAAGCAAAGCAGAGCATTCAGGGCAACAAAATCTAGCCAGAGCACCTACAAAATCAAGAACACAAAAAAAGTCTGGTGGTGCCAAAAATCAGTTTCTTCCCAGATTACATCCTTCTATTAATAAATATCTTAGTTGTTCCTTGATAATAATAAAACAGAGTACAAGTTAAAAAAAGGAAACTTGGTAAGTTAGTATTTCTGAGACATGGTTATGAAACATCCTGGCAATCAAATGATGAAAAATTTTAACAGAATGACAGGTTACAAAAAGGAAACTGAATTCATCTACAAATGACACCTAATTCAATAAACCTTCAAAATCCAAGTCAACCAAGACCACTCAAGCTGTACCAGGCGAGTTAAGCCATCTTTACTAGCAGGCAAGCTTTTCACAGATAGAAGTGGCTACATTTGTGGTTGCCATTCATTCAGAGACTGGGAGAAATCTAGGTGACAACTATACCTACAATCAAACTTGCACTCCCAAGATTTTTTGTCTTCAGGCTACCCCACCTTATGGCCACTGTATCTAGGAAGTGGGAAGAACAAAAACTAAAAGCTTGCCTTTTAATTTGACATACATAAAATTAATACTTAACAATTTGTTTTTTCATTTAGACCTTACAGATCTTCATCCAAGTGCCATCATGATACACTCTTTTTTCCCCAAAAATAATACCAGATAGAGTCCTCTGCAGTACAGAAAATTATTTAACTGCTCATTTCACATGGATATGATGTACAAAGACTTCTGACCTATTCCTCAGACTGTGACTGGGATAATACTCTGCAATTATAGTCTGCTGACAAAAGTAGAGTATATTAACAAATATATAAGACAATTAGGAGAAGGTAATAGTCTTAATCCAAATCTTCAAAGCTAATCATGCCAGTATGTACAATTCAGCTGTATGTGGCAATAGCTCAAATTAAATTAGCCCCAAGGTTGTGTGTGAAGCTGTATGTAAACTGACCCATAAGAGATAATGCCTTTTTTTTTTTTTTTTTTTTTTTTTTTTACATAAAAGCTCCTTATTCTTTAGGCCATTACAGGTCAGCAGAAGACAAGGAGCATAGTTACTCTGTAGAGATAACTAATGGCTTACATCCAGCTAATTTTCCAAAGGCAATGGTTAATATCAAAACCAGAAAATGAAGCAAAAGAACAGCATTTTACTTAATTGAATGGCACTCTTCTCCTTTTCGCCTTCTCCTCCCCCTTTTAATTCTCTTTAAAAAAACCCAAGATCAGAGTACTTACTTTAAGTAACCAAGTGAGCACAGAATCACGATAAGGAACAAATTTATTCTTGTTCTTGCCAGCAGCCTGATCTGCCAGGGCAGAAATAACCAGCCCAAGAGTTGTGAGGGATCTGCACAGAGAACACAAGCAGCCATTATCAAGTGTAAATATTCATAAGTCAAATGCATGTTTAGACAGTCACTTTCTCTCCAGAAGTGAGTCCCAAGGAATAAGTTCCTAGAACAGTTTTGATCATTCTTCTCTCACAGAAGCTCTACTCCTTGTTTTCAGCATATCATTTCAGCCATAATAATCATGTCTTCACAACACAATTTTGTGGTAGTTGCAGGAACACACATACAGAATGAAAAAGGCCAATTGTTTAAAGTAGGCAGTGATCTCATTCAAACAGCTAAGAGTACGGTACGCCAGAAAGTAGAGAGAAGGGAAGAAGAAAACTGGCTGCAAGACCTCATATTGACTTTATCATATTTTACAAGTATGCTGCATTTAGCAGTCATGATTGTATTGATGAAAAAAAGGAAAATAAATAATCAGTCTTACTTGTTGATGTTGCTTCCTTCTTTCAGCCTGTCTCCTGCAGCACCAGTCTTAGTTGCCCGTTCACTACCTGCTAAGTCCACCAGACTCAGCTTGCCCACCTTCTCACCTGATGTCTGTCGAAGGAACCAGAGAACAGCTACTGTTAGTTCACTCCAATTAAGTTACACAGATTGATGTATTTTCAAACAAGAATCAAGCTTCATTTCTTGCTGCTGACTCTCTACAGCTGTTCCAACAACTTTGAAAGTCATAGTACTTGAACAATATTCTGTGATAACTCGTTGTGATAACTAGGTTGCAGCTCCAGAAACAACAAGAGGAGCTGAAGTAAGATACAAATATATCTTGAAGACATCTAAGAAATCTCCAGAGGAAAGAGACATGGGGCACATTAGTGAAATGTTAAAGCAAAAACATAGGCAGAAGGAGTACAGGCTGAGTTGTCACAAAGACAGACAGGGGTCTATAAGCTCTGCCTTTGTATTATCATCTTGAAAACAGTTTCCTAAAAATCTCAGACTTTATACTACGTTTCTGTTTGCACTCTGTTTTTCAGCAAGTGAGAATGAACACGACAAGAAGCATATTACAATTTATGAAAATTATTACAGTTGCAGAAGTCTCCTATATATTAACAGCCTCCTAGAAAGCAATCCAAGCTATGTGAGTATTTCAATCCTATAAAAGGATTTATAACAAAATCTGTGTTATCACATTTGACCCAAAATTACATTCTGAAACACTCCCTGAATTGCATATCTCAATTTGAAGTTGAAGAGCTAACACTGCCTTTGAGAACAGTGTGATTACATCGTGCTGTTCTGAAGCATCTAGGACTTCAGCACCTCAGTACCACAGTTGCCCTAAATGAACAGGATAATTAGAATCAACATGCTTTCAAAAATGTTACTTGGCCTCTCAAAATACAGTGTGATCATCAGGCCATACCGTAACACGTCATTTCCAGGACTGAAAGGACCAACAGATGGGAAAACAGAGAAATCTGTTCCAGAAACTCACACAGTGGTCAGTAAAGATGCAGAAAAGACTGACAAGAACTACCACGTTGCATCTAGGCTGACCATGACCACACAAAAAATATGTATGATAAGTCTGCAGTACAGCCACAGAAAAAATGGAATTATAAACTATGGTAAATCAAGGAATTTAGCATAGTATGTGTGCCGATTTGAAGTGCAAAGGGAAAATACATCCAAATAGAGAATGAGCAAAATTGTTTGAGTAAGAAGATTGGTGTAGACTGAGAAATGAGAAGGAAACAATCCAAATGCTCATTATGCTTTACATTGTGTTCAATATTTAGTTAGGCACATACATGCCTTAGATTTGCTCTGTAGACACTAAATTTCTCCAAGGCTTTGAAGACATTGAAGAATCCCCCAAGTACAGAATCTATCAACAAAGATTAAAGAATTTTGGCATAAGAGATCTATTTCAATTTTAGTTTATCACCACTCTCTGTGAGGGATTAAATAATATTAACATGAATGTATTTCACATGCCCCTCAAAGGAACATTTACATATAAGGAAATGTAAAGAAAAATACTTTCACATTTAAACATCTTTTAGATATATATATATATAAAAGTGTTAATGTCATACAATGCAAAATTTTTAAATGAGTGTTTGTTTTTTAAAGTTGATAATTTCTGCATATTTGTATGAAATAACACCTTGAAGGAGATTACCAGATGTATACTCTGGTATTCTTCCATTTTCCATCTACAAATTTCAGCTTTGGTTTCTGCTTCAAGCACATACAACACACCGTTGCTTAAAAATAAATGTTTCTTTAGTTCAGATTCTAAGATTAGGAGATCCTTCCTTGCACCTTCCAGCACGTCTGCTGCAACTTGGGGCCTGCATTTTTGCTTTCTATTTAAAAAAAAAAAAAAAACAAAAAAAACAAACACACACATTATTTCCACTTGCAAACCTATTAAAATTGATTTTCCTACATTGGGGCACAAGCCCCTGAGCATCACGAGGACTTAGCCAGACAAAGCCATAGCTACCCTGATCCAGTGCTAGCAGTGCACAAGGGCAGGAGACTCTCGCAAATGACCTCCCGAGGTCCCTTCCAACCAAAAGTCTGTGAAATACATTAAAGCAAGAGACACACATCCAGGCTTAACATTTGGACCTTGTAACTTCTTTTACTTACCCCTGATTGTACATCATAGAGTGTGTGGGTGAGGATAATCTTGAAGACTGCATGGGACCGACTGCTCTCCTCATTCATGTTGGTTGCAGCCACTGTTCGAGATTTGTTGCCCTCGGACATCAACGATTCAATGTCCTAGATAGAATTTTCATAGCCATAAGCATATCTGCATTAAGATTCTTTTCAACTATCTACCAAAACAATCTGATTTTGGGAAAAATACAGCAATGATTCTCCCACTAGGTTTCCCACTGCTTGTTCATACAGTGTGAGGAAAAAAAAAATTGTGATCTCCCCTTTAAAGACTAGAAATTACACAATGTTGTGACATGCATATTCATTCATTACCTCTAACTTAGATATTAAATGATCAACAAAAATAATGCACCTAGTTGCACATAGCAATACTCAAAAGAAAAGAAAAATGTGAAGAAACAGCAAATCACGTTTGAACACTAACATTTTAACCTTAGTTCTCAAACACATGTTCTTGAAATCTGCAATACTGACATAAGGCTCAAAGTGTTACCACACTGAACAGGTCATTATGTTCCTCCTACATATAACAGCTTATAAAGTCTTTATATGTTAAGTTGTGATACTTGAGAAATAGGCAGCTCCCCTGCTTCAGGGTTTTACAGCAATCCCATAAAATAGTTAAAACTTTAGAGTCGTGGTCTTAACTTTTATTTATGACTCTCTAGATGGATGATGCTAAAAAAAAAAAAAAAAAAAAAAAATCCAAAACAAAATACAATCAAACAGAAGAACACCACAGATCACTTTGACTCTGTATGCTGTATGACACAAAGCTGCTGGGTAACATGTAAAATAAAAGCATGCAATGTGTCTTAACAGAAGCCACCAAAGAGAGGCAGATTAATACCTGGAGAGACTGCAAGAGGAAGGACTGCATCATTTTCACGTTTTGCTTAAGATGACAGAATTCCATCCCATATTTACTCATTTCTCCCACAGTACGTTAATGCTTCTTAAAACTTGGGGCATTTTGTGAATGCATGTATAAACATTTACTATCCAGTAAGCAAGTTTCATGCACTGTTCTCAAGTATTTGCATAGTAAACAATCATTAGTTTACAATTCCAGTGTGTCTGTGTGCTACTGGTAAGTGACATTACTAGGCAATCGTATGACAGCCAAAAAGTGACAAAATGTGGTACTGAAAGCCTGTCTCTGCCAAATCCTGGTTCTGTAATTAATCATGGATACAGCATACACTCATCTTATATTTGGAAGGAAAGCTGTTTCATTACATAGTTGAATTACTTCCAGAACTATTGAATAGTACGGGATGAAGATGAGTTTCTGCTCTTCACCCTGTCCTCCCCGGGGATCACAATACAACAATCCTACAGCTCTCTTGCTCTAAAATCCATGTTACTGCCATGGCAATTAGGAGTGGCTTAATAATTTTGCCCTGCTTAAGGGACAGTACCCTAGTGTTTAGGATGTCAACCCGAGCCTTTCATAAAATCAATCCTTACCTTGTAGCTAGCAACAGCTAGTTTGGATAGGCCATCTACGTAAGGACCATAAACACTGTGTTCTCTAACTTTTAATGACTGACGGCTTCTGGTTGGAAAAAAAAAGTTATTTATAAGCACATGACTGACTTAAGACAACATTTATAGAAAGTCAATTTCTCACTGACAGATCTCAAACATGATGGTCATACAAAAACAATAACAAAGCACAGAACAAGGACTATAATGCAAAAGAAAAAGCCGACATAGGTATTTTTGTCACTTCATAAAAGCTAGCACTAGGGTGAGTTTACTCCAAGCCTTTAGTCTCACTACCTTATTTTGATTTAAAATGAAAGGACACTGAGATCAGGAAGAAGCGAAAGCCATCCGACACAGATGCCTTAGATGGGATCCATTAAGGCAAGCTGGTTATGGAAAGGAAGACTGTATGACAACATATTGCCGTGCTGTTGGCACACAAATTACCCTTTTGGGTCAAGCAGATCTCTGACTTTCTCATTGTATATCTCCATGTAGGATACTTCCACTTTGAAACTCTGCTCTTCATTTTCCTCCTTCTGGGCTCTTTCGAAGAGTCCACTGCAAAGTCTAGGGATTAATCCAGGCTGGTCAGCAGTACCCATCATTGTATATGATTTTCCAGATCCTGTGTGATTGAATCTATGATTAGTGTACATGCAACAAAGTATCCTGCTCTGCAGAACATGGAAATGAACTAGAGAGAAGAGGTAAAAAAAAATTTTTAAAAATGGCATTTCAGTGAAAGATGTTTGTGCAGTTTTCTATTTCAAAGCAATCAAAACACGATCTAGCTAAAGATTATTTAATGAAAAAGAAAAGTGAAACAAGAAATTTAGTTCAAACTAGCAGAGAAGACTTTTTCAGGTAGATACAGTCACGCTGTAGAAGACAACCCACCAACACTCAGATATGTGCCACAACAAGAAAAATCAGTTGCACAAGCATACTCATTTTTGCACATTGGTTTTAAAATGACGATTAAAGATTATTCTAACTGCAGAGACAGAAAACGTGAGTGATGCACTGAACTCAAGGACGATCATGGTCACTCCAAAGATTATAATCTAAGGTGTGAGAAATAAGGGTAGCCAACAGCAACAGACAAAATCCAATTTCTCATCCTGTCCACCTCCTATCTAATGTTACAAAAGAGAAAAACATTTCTTATCTGCAATACAAGGCATTTCTCCTGAAACAATGTCACAACAGCCGTGAAAAGAGCCTCCAGTCAGAATGTTAACACCTTCTGCATCAAGAATATTTTTTGCTTATGTCCAGAAGGGACTTACCAGTTTGCCCATAGGCAAAGATGCAAGCATTGTAGCCTTCAAAGGCATTCTGAAGAATATTCTCTCCAAGGCACTTGAAAACAACATCTTGACCTAAGAAATAAAACACACAAGCTAGCATTGTAACAAAGCAACAGATTCCCCCCGCTCCTTGATTTGGATCCTTCAGTAATTATGTAAAAGCAAACAGTCCATGTTTTCCTGCTCCTGTTGCCCAAATAACATATTTAGCATCCAATATTTGCTCCCCCTGCAAAAGCAGGACCATCAGCCAGTAGTCGTGTTCCAGATTTATGCTACTGCAAAAATCAGCAGCTGTGATTATCATGCATATATACCTGTGTATGCTTAAAACAACATCCTATCAATGTTCATACTCACAAGTTTTATCAGCAGAAAATCTACTACCAGCTGCAGAATTTAATCCACTGGCAAATGACACCACCTCAAAATATACTCACCCTGTATATCTTAACAACTCTCAGTTGATTTTAATCTAGGGCAAGTAGTAGAGCACTAGGTAATTTTACTGTATAAGGTATTAAATAATACCATGAGGAGGTTTTTGCAGAGAAGATATCACAACTATGTGGGAGATATTAGAGTACAAGACATGCATTAGCAAAATACAGGGTCTATCACTTCTTTTGTAACTGAATTAAATCTGTAGGAACAGCTTTTCAGCTCCTCTTCCAAGTGGAGGAAAACATTATTAATATATTTGGGTATTACCTACTTAAACACACCCTCTGTTTTCAGAATTTCTTTTACAAGCAGAGAAACTAAAGCCTGAACAAGACAAGGCAGAACTTTATGGACTGAAAAGTCCTCTCACATAAGTTAACGTTCATGAAAGCATTTCCTTTCTCTCGTTGACTGAAGTCTGTATGTATCTTTACATCCAAGTGCACTCTGCATTTTACACATGCAAAATTCCCCATCAGAATTACTAATAGCTGTGCCTACCTAAGCACAGCGGAATGGTTTTGGACCAAACACTTCCAATGTATAATAGACCATAATATAAGTAACATAGTAGCCTCCATTAGTTCAAGAAAAAAACCAATTACCTTCCTATGTAATTTGTATGGCTGAAAGTGTCATGGTTTTCTCAATTCCTCACTAAATTACTATTCATTAGTTATTTGCTAGAGAAATTAAAACCTAGAAGCATACACACCTTTTTTCTTGTGATTTTTTTACAATAAATGTAAGTAAACTTAACTGATTCCCACTTTAAAGAGATAACAAGCATGAAAGGAACAGATCAGAAGAGTGGTAAGTTCAAATATATTTCATATTTTACCATAACTATTTGCCAAAATGTATCATAATAATACACAGAAAGCACTTCATTAAATATATTACACATTCTCACCAGACCATATGAATTCACATACCCCTGTATTAAATTAGGCTTTTTTTGAATACTCCATTATTAAGTTCTAATGTGATGCCAAACTCCCTTCAGCACTGTGAAACATGAAGTTACATATATCACTGTTCCTCGAGTTCTGAAAAGAAATGTATTTGATGCTTTTAAAATGATGGACTTGAAACGGTATTTTAAGTAAAGATATAAATATGAGCAACCCATTATTGTGATGGATTTCTCAATTTCCTACACTGCAAACAGGTAGCAACGTCTACAGCTATTATCATCTTTAGAGAAGAAAACCAGGAATGATTGAAGATTTTCCTTTTCCTTTTGACAACAAGCAGCTGGGGGAATAGGGGAAAGGCACTTTGCCCCATATGGTCTGTGCCCTGTAGCAAATCCTGTATTTTAATTAGATCATTCACACTTGGGCACAACAAGCACAAAGCTACAGTGTATATTACCTGCATATTTTTCTTTGACAGATTCATCCATAGACCAAAAGCAGTGATCGTAAGCGAACACCTGTAGGAAAATAACCAGGACACCTTATAAAAACTGTTGCCAAATCAAACATCTTATCCAAATTTTGACAGCACTGTGTTATGTTGGCTAACATCACGCTCCTTGGGGCGATTCTGAATATAAAACACATTCCCACAGAATTACTTCTCTTCTATGAGTTCGAAGCCTAAACAAACACAGCATCTTCCTATATGCAAGTCTGTTCATTGCTTTTATTTGTCCCTTGCTTTTATTTCTTCCTTTCTACTGTGTGAATTCTATTCCATGTTCTCCTAAAGCTCTCCATGTGGCAAGCGAGTGGATGTCAAGGAGCTCTCCTTATCGTCCTTAAAACCCATCCGTGCAATTCATTTATCACAAGACTGTTTTGCAAACAGACAGATGTCCCCTGGCTGTTTCTGCTGGCCATCTCCCTGTGTCTCTTGTCTGCATAAATGAAAAAACATGCTTTAGGGTAGGAACCTCTTTCTGTACAAGAGGAGTATGTATTTGCATACTGCTTAGCTACACAAGCAGTCATCACCGAAGTCTCGTACTTGTAAAGAACAATATAGAACAAATGATTTTCATCATGAGAAGAGTAGCACTATAATCTCTTTAAATAGAAAAGTTTCCATTTTGTGGTAAATGCATTTAAAGGTCCACAGGCACCTTTCATTATGAAAGCTCCAGTCTCCAATAAGATCAGATGTATTTTGGGACCTTAGGCTGCAAAACCAGGCATTTGCAAAAACAATTCCCCTGGATATGTATTTGTAAAGAAAAAAAAAAAAAAATTCAGGGTAATATCTGACCTACATTCACACAAAATTTACTCTGTAGGATGTAAAGGGAAGTACAAAGTGTTGCTCTTCAGCCGCTTATTTCTCCCCTAAGCTTAATGAAGACTGCTCTTTCCTCTTTAGATGTTCTGTAGTGCTATGTAGCCAACGTTTGCATCCCTTCAGATCACACTGGCAGAGCAAGCACACCACGCCAGCACCTCGCATCCACCTCCTGAACTCTCATTCCATTATTTCTGAAAATTTCATTTTATCTGTCAACACATTTTCACATTCCATTTTAGTGAAGTCTGTCATCTGTATGCTAAAGGTACTAACCATGAACTAGCATCTACATAGGTAATCAAACTCAACATCTCTTAACTACTAAAGATTGTAGGAACAAAATATGTTGCATCCTATCTATATTTATACTGGGAAAACCCTAACAAGAATGACGGAGTCTGTAGTGAATTACTTCAGTTATAGCATTTCCTAACAGATCATATAATGGAATCTGAGAAATAATTTAAAGACTCACGGAACAACAAAGCAAATCTTCCTCAACTATTTATACTAACTAAAATGATTAGGAAAACTATCCAAGAGGTGAAAATCCATACTACCAACACATCCAAACTTACTACCCATGTTTATGAAAAAGCTTAGTATAGCAAAATCCTTGAAATTTAAATAACTTATCTTCAAAAGTATACTGTCTGTTTGGTTTTTTTTTTCCTACTCTAATGTCCCAGCATCAAATGATAATAGTGGTTATTTTACATTCTCTAATTAAGGAAACAACAGCCTGTTCATTTAAAATTAAATTTTTTTGGTTCTTTGAATTTATTATACAATTAAGCATATTATTATAGCATCCCGTGCCTTCAGAGCACTTAAGAAAACATCATTGGCTACATGACCACATCAGTAAAGCTGAATCTTGATATGCTAGAATAGAGATAGATATCTGCATACCAAATACTGAGTCACGGGATCATGAGCCATTAACCACAAAATGAGTTTGCTTTAACACAAATACCAGAAAATGCTTTTAAAAGCCCACAAATAACAAGTAGTCTTCCATTCACACTCTGTAATGATGAGTCTGTATGTTCTCATTTGTTCCTGTGACTCATTTTTTGGCACAGGCTGTACAGTGCTCTTCTGCAGCAAGGAGATGCTTCGAGTTTCTTACTCAACAGCTGATCAACTACAGAGCTGTTTTTCTAAATGCTTTTAATATTTGGACAAACCAAGGCTGAATGAGTGATACGACAATTTTTCACACACTGATTTAACATGCAATAAAAGCCCTTACCTTTGGTTGGGTCCTACTGTTCCCCAAAGCATCAGCAGCAGAAATGATTTGGCATAGGGTTGGGGTAAGAAAAAGACAAAAGAAAAACAAATAATGTTAGCTGTACTGATTTTTGCTTAATTATTCTATCATTAACACCTCATCATTGGAGTACTGTATTTAAAAAGTTCATTTCTCTCCTCGTATCTCCCCTTGCTTACAGATCCCAAGTCATTTCACAAACCAATGCTTATCTCTTTTCAAAAGTAAGATTTGAGATGCTGATCTGAATAAGTTGATTTTAAATTCAAAGCCACTGATTTTCCTCATGCTGCCACCATCTCTTCCTCATTCTCTCCCAGGTTGTTGGTTTTTTTTTTTCTTGTGATACCTCTCTCCGGTTTTGTGGGTGTCACTGTCTCTTAAAAACAAAGTACCCAAGCAATGTCAAAATTTCCAAAACCACTGGAACAAGAACTTTAGGAGAGTTATCCAAGACGAAATTTCAGAGTCCAACCCTTGGGCTTGCCCGGCTCCATTCACTCCCAGTTGCTGGGACAGCAGAGCAAATATTTATTTCCCTAAAAGAATGAGCAGAGAATAGCAATTCTTTTAATCTGTTATGTGCATAATTTAAAAGTTTGTTTGGGGGCATTTTTTATGTTTGGTTTGTATTTTTTTCTTTTTTTTCTTTTTTTTTTTTTTTTTTTTTTTAACAAGTACAAAATTACTGGAGTGTCCTTTAAAGTAACAGCACAGCATCAGTCAATGCCCCGACAGCAGGTTAACGCAGTCTTCCCACATAAAGAAGACAGAACAACCGAGAACCAATATTCTCCTTGTCCTGGACTTTCCAAATGAGATTAGGAAGCTCTTGACATCAGTAACAAGTAAAGTCTTGTGACAAGCATCACCGATTTCTTTTGAACAGAGCAGGAGAAAGACACGGGAGCCATATAAGATTAATCTCAGAGTTCTTGCTGCTCATGTGGGTCGAGAAGCGAGTTTAAAAATAGTTATTTCTCAGCGTCTTCTCTCAAAAATATTTATTAAGCAAGTCCATCATCTCCTTCTACTCGGGCTCAGATCTAATGCACGTATCTGTCTGACATAACAGGAATGATGGTGACTTCGGACAGCAGCAGTCGGCGTGACCCGCTGCACCGGGTGATTATTTAAATCAAGGTTACTCCATGACAGCCACGTCGCAGGGTCATTCAAGCGAGCGATAACAACGTGACCACTTTTTCCCTGTCGTCTGGCTGTCGGAATAGAAGCTCTCCCAAGGTCCTTGGCAGGATGCTTGGTGAAGACTCTCAACTGCCTCTGTTGCTGCCCGGTGGGTCATAGGCTTGGAGATGTATTGAGGGAATCTCCTTCACCAGGACTTTGATTCAGACGCAGAAGACACCAGCGAGCCCGTCTGAGTTACTCCAAGAGAGCCGCAAGAGGATTCTGGTGGCTTTCTGTGCTCTGAAATGCTAGTGCAGCAATTCGATGAAGGACTTCGCTGGAAACTCCTAAGTGGCTTTTAGGGGTGCCCCTGCTTACAAGGCAGGCTTATTCCTGTTCTTAGAGGAAGATCATTCTCATTGTAAGATAAAGAGAATAGCAAGCCTGGATTCTGAGTTTGAATTTAGCACTCAGATGTGACACCGCTCTTAATTCAGCAAGCAGTTATGCTCATATTCCCCAGCCCAGTTCCAAGGCAGGATTATATTCAGACAATGCAGTTCATCTTTCCAGCCCTCAATACAGGATGTATTATTGAGTACTGGGATTAAAGCAGCAATAAGGATACAACCTCAGAAGTCCTACCACATATACAATTTTAAGAGGATGGATCATGCTAGGCTATGTAAATCATCGAGCTTAGTTCAGACTAACGGTCTTAATTTAAGTATCTCATTTTCTAAACAGCTGCACAAACACACAAAACCATGTCCCGCTGCCTTGCTTAATCCACACATGAGCAAAGAGAAGCCCTATATCGAAGAAACCCAGCGTACAGCATTTAGGATACAGCACAGCTATCTAGAGCTGTAGCTTGTTCTGTGTACTTTGGACCAAGAAGAGGATAAATTGGACAAATGTTTCCCTAAGGAAAGCATTAAAGGTGCAGACTATATTATGCAAGACTGTGCTGTGCATATACAAATCCATTAGTACTGCAGCTGGGCGCCACGATAGCTGGGGCCAGAAACCCATGAAAAGATTTTCAGCCCGATTCAAAATCCCGTGAGAAATGAATAGATACGGGGATACGGCACCCACAGGAGTCTGCTCAGCTGCAAGCAGAAGCACGGGGTGTTTAGAGGAGGCTCCATGCCCAAGTACGGTGCATTGCTACAGTTCATCTGGGAGGTGATGAAAAGGTAAATACAAAGCAACAGCATTGCCTACAGAGCAGGGAAGTATCGCCTACAACACCACACGGGTGACAGCAACGTATGCAAAGAACATTTCCTATGGATAAGGCTGGCATTAACAAAAAGATCCCAGAGGATCCTAATATTGACAACTTGTAATCGTAATAAATAGTAAAGAACCACAAGTAGCTCCAAAGCAGAACAGGTCATGTACAGCTGTGTCACCTGCCAACTGCTCGTGCCAAAACCCACGTCCAAACCAGCGTCTGCACGACAGAGAGTGAAAAAGGAGCTCACAGCGAAATGATTGTTGCAGGAATCTCAAAGCACCCGTCTGGCAGTTTCCCCCAAGGATGCCGCCACTTCAGAGGTGCAGGCAGGACTTGCTATCATTCCTTAGCTGACAGCCAATAATTCACATCTATCTCAAATGCAGCAGAAACATCCAGGACAGGAAGGGAAAACTTATCTTTTAGCTACTGAAGGATGTCACTAAGATGTTTTCAGCTACGTATTTTCACTTGAAGCCAGGCTGACAGGATTTTCCTTTGCCAACTCCCCCCTTTTATCTTTTTTCAACTCAATGTTAAACAGAAGTAGGGGGAATCTAATGTATCTAGGGTTTCTAAAATTAAAAAAGGAGACTGAAAATACTGCGAAACAACTGCTGCCATTTATTACTATTTCATTTGTTGCAACCAATTGAATACATATGTTGTTTCAAGAATGAATGAAGACATGCATCCCTGAGTAATCATTTCTTTTTAAGCTAGCTGGTATAAGCCTTTTGACCAAGACATGTTTGCTTTCATATAAAAATGCTACTGGTTTCCCAGATCTTATGCACAACTTAAGCACCGGATAAAACCAGCGCAATTCCCAGCTGAGTCCATCAGTATATGTCCAATAACACTGTTTCTCCTGTTTTTTATTAAAGAAGAATAGCATCTCCAATAACTAAATTATACATTCAAGCACAATGAACTACTCTGTTTAGCCACAGCTATTAGTGCTACTTTAGTCATATCTCAGATCATATTTTACTTTGGCTTTTCGGGTTTAGAAGGAGAGGGAAGGTACAGTGACCTCAATTATATTTGAGATTTTGCAAATCTCTTAAGGAAAACACCACAGCAAATGAGTAGAGGTGAAACATTACTGTGAAGAGGCAAGGATAGCTCAGGCCTTATCTATTCTCTTTGGCTGACCCAACAGCTCTGAGACAGCAGCCAGCTGGCAAATCAGCACATGCTCTAAATCAGTCACAGCACATCCTGCTTCTTGCCTAAATCAGAAATGGGCAGATGGGGCAAATGGGAGTAGAGAGGTGGGAGGCAGCAAGGCGGAAAGCAGGGCAAAGAAGTGCAGAGGCTGTAGGACATGATCTGACAAGCCAGTTCGGGGTTGGTTTGGTTTTGGGTTTTTTTTTTTTGTTTGTTTGTTTGGTTGGTTTTTTTCTTTTTTTGGTTGGTTGGTTTTGGGGGGTTGCGTGGGTTTTTTTCTGTTTGTTTGGGTTTGGGATTTTGGGGTTTTGGTGGGTTTTTTTTGGTTGGTTGGTTTGGTGGGTTCTTTTTGTTGTTTTGTTTTGTGTTTGGGGTGTTTTTTTGGCATAGGAAATATTCTTTTTGAACTGTGATTGCAACAACATCCAAACTGTAAATATGGCTGATACTGCTCACTGGCACAAGGCTACGCTGGACTTATGAAACTGAAACATAACATTTTACCATATTCAGAAGCTTCTGGGATAGCAAAATATAATAAGAATGTGCAGGTTAAGAAAAAGAAGTCAGGAGGGGGAACAATTCCAACAATAACTATGGATTAGGAAAGTATCAAATCTCCAGAAATTCTTATCGCTTTCCACTTTCAATCTTCCATAACTACTGAAAAAACAAGCATATCAAATTCCAATACGATCAGTGCAATTTTATGCCCTTTAGCAGCAACTGCTCAGTATAAACTCTACAAAGTAGCTAAAAAGACAATTAGAAAAACATACTGAGGGGGAAAAACTGCTTGGGGCTTGACAGCAGAAAAGTGTCAGTGTCTCCCAGCAATCAGCCTAAAACCACATCTTCATGCTCCTGGGTGAGTTAGTTTGCTTTAAATCAGTTTGTATTCACACATATCTTATTAAAAGTAAAGCTGGCATCACGCATCACAGTAATTTACCTTTCAGATCCAGGAACAACTCTATTTTATAGTAAGTTTCTTCTTTTTAAAGTTTGTACCGATACAGTCCAAACCACTGTGTGTCTTAAATACTTCTTAAATCTAGTATCAAGTAAACTGCTCCTAGCCCACATTCACAGACCCTGTTATAACACGCACAGGCATAATGTCCACTCCACGCTTCCAAGCAAATCTGGAAGAGAAATGCTATGTGGCAACTATGCCTTCGCTCCCGCTCAGTGCACCTGGGAATATCAACACCACAGGACAAGGAGCCCCAGACCTGGTCTTGGAATCGAGTCAAAGGGAAAAAATTCCAGCACAGCACCTAAAGGACAAATGTCCGATGACCTCCAGAGGTCCCTTCCAACCTCAGCCGTTTTGTAATTCTGTGATTTTATTAATATTTTGTTGCCGATAAAAGCAGTATAGAAACTATGCTAGGTTCTCACACAAATGCACAACTGCATTCTGTACCAGCTACTCCCTGAAA